TCAACTACGCCACATAGTGATTGATATCCGGGTCAAGTCAGCCCATCAACCTTTTTACAACTTTGCAGAATGAACCTACAAGGATCACATTAAAATTGCCGCAGATCAACCTGCCTAGCTTCAGTGGCGATGTCACTGCCTGGCTAAGTTTCCTTGATCAATATCGATAAACTGTCCATTACAATTAAAAGCTGTCGCCAGTTCAGAAATCGATGTATCTCATGAGGTGCTTGACGAGCCTAGTTTCCAAGCTCATCATGTGTTTGGAGACGGTAGAAAGTAACTATGAGGTAGCTCTTCAAACGCTAGAGCAGAGATACAAAACGGATCGAGTCATCTTTCGAAAGCGTTTGTCACGAAACCACAGGTTTACTGCAGTTCGAACAGAGAATGTGTCTCTGCTTCGTCAGCTACCTTCAGTCTTCAATGAGACTTCGCAGTCAATCAAGGCAATCGGAAGCTGAGTACAAAATTGTTTGTGGCATTTCTCGATCCTGAATCTCAGAAGGCATGGGAAACTGCAAACGATGGCAATGAAGCTCCTGATTTCGATCGAATCATGGTGCTTTTAGACAACACAGTCAAGTCTTAAGAAGTAGTTGAAGGATCTGGTTTCAGATCACCTAAGCAAGAGCGTGAGCTGCAGTAGTTTTGGACAGAAAAGAACCAATCTCAAAAGAATGGCTTCTTTTTACTAAAGTGTAAAGTTCAGATCTTGCAAGAGCGACATCCAACTTGGCAGTGTTTGAAATACAGATCGATGACAACATCAGAAAGAAATACTATCGTGACCAGCAATAGGATTTGCTTCGAATGTTTGTCTGCAAGCCACGGCACCCAGCAATGTCCTTCAACAACACTGTGCAAGGCATGTCATATGAAGCATCCCACAACTCTTCATGGCAATTCTAGTCAACCCACTCCTCCTCCCGCCCATGAGAATAAAGACACAGAGAAGTCCATCTACATTGATTGACACCTGCTCATTAGTTTTGCCCAAAAACATTCGAGCACCTACAATCACTTGCTGGATGATAGCAAGCAACTTGAGAGAGTTTGTGATCCTTGGACCAGTGACCCCTGTAACGATAATGCCGAAGATTTTATTACAAAAAACATGGGATTGGAATTTGGAATGGGATGATGATGTTGGGGCGCATATAGCGAACCAGTTCCAACACTGGGTGGATAACTTAGGACTTTTGTCTTCACTGGCAAAACCTAAGTGCTCAGCAAGTCGATATTCTTTCCTTCTGCGATGCATCGAAGATGGATTATGGATGAGTTATCTATGCCAGAACAACTTTAGACACGAGAAACCACTCTTCATTTCTAGCCGGCGAGTAACGACTTGCACCAGGGAAGACAGTTTGCATTCAAAGACTTGATCTTTGTTCAACGGTGCTGGGCTGTAAACTCCTGAAATGTGTCTTGAAGTCAATAAAGACTTGTCAATTAACTGATGTCAGCGCGTGGACTGATTCAAAAAAGCACTTGCTTGGATGAGATCAACTCAAACAGGTATTCTACTTTTTTGGCCAACCGCATTGCCAAATTACAACAGATGCTACCAGCTGACAAGTGGAAACACGCTCCGATTCATCAAAAACCAGTCGATAAAACAACGCGACCAGTAGCAGCAGCTGAACTATAAAAGTGTCAGCTTTGGTGGTCAGGGCCCTCTTGGTTGTATTGAAGTTCGTTTTCTATCACAACCAATGATTCTCGAAGCATTTGAAGAGAAGAACGAGATCAAATGGTCATTCGAAGAAACCATCCTGCTCACTCAGACAATTGGCGGGAAGGAAACCATGAAAACAGCAAAAGCAACCAGGACTAAACGGCGGACAGACAAAAAGCGGAAAGTTCTTCAATTTGGAACAATGGAGATCTTTTGGCAAATCTCAACGCATTGGAGCTTTTTTCGCAAAGTTCGCCGTGAAACTTCTGAAGAAGAACATCTTGAAAGTTAGGACTAAACCTCCTTGTATGAGACGTTCAGGAGAAGCATTTCGACGAACAAAAGAAAGCAATTAGAAACGGACAAGATATTTGCCGAAAATTAAACGTCCTTTAGCTATATCCGTTCTTAAATGATGATGGATTGCTAAAAGTTGGTGGACGACTCGCAGCGGCTGATTGCCTTTAACGAGAAAGTAAAACTTCAGATGATCTTGCCTCCGAGCGCTCATTTTTCGAGAACTGTGATCCGCCATGGTCACATTCACTTTCCAACTACACAGTCGACTGAATGACACTGTTGCTCACGCTCAGCGGCACTTCTGGATCATACGAGTCAAGACTATGGGGCGAGCAACGATAGGCAACCGCATGACTTGCTTCAGGTTCCAATGTAGAGCATTGAATCAGCTGATGGGAGGATTCTCTAGTGAGAGAGTCAACCCATCAACACCATTCTCCTATGTTGGTATCAATTTAGAAGGACCAATGTACTATAAGGAAGCCAAACAACTACTCAACTGTTACATAGTAGTTTTTATTTGCTTTTCAACTGAGGGAATCCTCATGGATAATTCAAAATTCAAAAGGCTTGGACACTGAAGAATGCTTGAAGGTCAACAGAAGGTTTGTTGCTCGACGAGGATGCCCCAAGCAGATCTTCTCCGATAATGGAACCAACATCATCGGATCACTCAACGAGCTACAGAGTAGACATCTGATCATGTTCGAGACTTAAGTATCAAACGTACTTCTACTATATCTGCAAGGGCTCCAAGTTTCGGAGGGCTATGGGAAGCTGCTGTTAAGTCATTGAAACTACTCTAGCACAAAACAATAGGCAAGGAATATAAACCTAAACTTGCTGAGATGTACACAGGGCTTTGTCAGAAAGAAGCTATACTCAATTCAAGACAGATCAAAACGAGCTCGGATGATGCCAAAGACAATGTACCGCTCATTCCATCAATGCTGCTGAACGGTTTCAAGTCAACTGCTCATTGTTGCTGATCCCATCTTTGATGAGCTTAATGAAGATGAAAAATGTGTAATAGTTGCCTACTTAAGTCGCATATCAGGCTAAAAAAAATAGGCTCTATAACCATTGGCTCAAGAGTCAGGGACATTATCTCTTGTGTTTTTTTTAAACCTCAAACGGTCGAAGCCAATTGGGTTCACTTGCGACATGAGACTAAAACCTTTGTTACAACTTACAGGCCATTTCCAAAATACCCCCCACTCTAGAAAATAAGAACGTCCCCATTCTTAGGTCTCAAAATACCAAAAACACGCGAACGCCGTTAAAAACAGGGTCGGAACAATCCGTATAGTTATTTTTTATTAGACAGTGGAACTTTGATCCATTTCAGATGGATCAACCTAAAACTCGCCTTACCTCAACATAGCAATATAAAACACACTCAAGAAATATAAATTGGGTACTCACATACCGGTACACTCTAGAATTTGAGTAACTAAATTAATAAGTAACTCCAGAATAATCTAAGGAATCAAGTTTTTACTCGAGGAGTTTTGGATTAACAAGTCCCAGCTTGAGAAATGAGTTTTAACTTGAGAAATAAATTTTTGGGGCTGGACCATTGGGAGACTTCGATTGTCTACTTTTCCACCGAAAGTTCATCCTGGTCCACTTCTAATTCGTTTCTTCGTCGTTCGTAATCACTCTGCCTTCTGTTTCAAACAAGACAGCTCTACTCTCATGTATTTCTATGTCTGGAAATTGCGAATAGCAAATTACCGCTCCTTTTTTCGACCACTTTTCCGCGATTGTAAATCGGTTCTTCTGATTTTATGATTTTAGCATTTTCAGTTGTCGCGAGAAACTTGAGCATGACATGTCCATTTCGGTTTTTTGAAAAATTTCATTTCACCCCTAAATCATGTTTCTTGTGTTGCTCAAGGTCAAACTTCCAAATATGACTGTCTGGCACATGCCCGAGAAAACGATCCAACTACTTGCAAAAACTGACTGCATAATTCTAGAAGCAATGGACTTTTGATTATCTAACCGCTATGCAACAACGCAATAAGAACTGTGTAAAAACTTGAAAAAAGGAGGTCTAGTTACATAACTGATGATCATGAGAATAACACCCCCCTTTATCATTGCCAGTTGGAATCGTGGAAAATGTATATACCGGAAACTATAGTCTAGTGAGGGTAGTGCAAGTTAAAACGGAATGGGATGCTTAGCACACGGACGATTTCAAGATTACAGAAATTGCCGATGAAAGACAATGAAAGTTGAAACAATCAACTAAACTGATTGATCAGAGTTCAACGGGGGTGGCAATGTTGAAGCACACAAAGCGTGTTTTGATTGGAGAGATAATTTGTTCCTATGTAAACTCATTTAAAAGTGCATGTTTATTTTCCCTTAATTTACTTCGTTTACCCGCGATTTATAGTAACTAAATCATGATTAATTAAATTTTCATACGAAACAGTCGCTCTCCAGCTATCGCGAAGTATTCATAGGGAGAAAATCTGTCCTCTTATTTTATCTGCTCAAACCATCTATAGTTAGATTTGGTTGTTTTTATGAAATAGAAACCCCTGATAGATAAGGCAAATTTATGTTCACGATTGCACCAATTATCGCTGTTTTGGAACATGTTTTTGGAAACTCGTTTTATATTCAATGATCTTTTCGAAGCACCGTAAATGCGAATCCGCTAGTTTTTATTATGATTTGTGAGGGAACGTTTTGAATTCGCCTGGTTACAGATTTCGAGAACATACCTATTTTTTTACGCCTGCCAATTGTCCAAGGATTACATTTCTTTCCCGTCTTTTTTTACTTTTCGCGTGAATATTGCATTGTCCAAACCTATGTAAAAGTCTCTCGGAAGCGATCAAATGCATTCTAAGGTTTGTTAACTTTTACAGTCTTTCACTATTTAATTTTTGCATTATTTTTAAACATGACATGACCTTCACGTGCGATTTTTTTTCGTACAGTAAGTTGGCTGTTAAATTACTCTTTTTTGGTCAAACGAAATCAGGTCAAAACAGAAAACGGATAAAAAGATATGTGCAATAGTGCTTAACTACTTTTCAGCTATTTCAGAAGCTATATATCAATACTAATGACCGACAATGACTACAGTTCTGCGCGGGATATTTTTTGTTAAGTTTTGGGAAACGCAGGGCCCCAAGATTCGAGCTCAATCGCCTGCTGGCTTCATATCCGATGAGATGTTCAACTCTTTTGATTACAAAGTATGTCTACGTGAACATATAGTTATTGTTTTTTTAGTAATAAAATCGATACTGAACTTGATTACGCCAGCGATTCGTTTAATTATCAATCAGTAAAATTCATTAAGTGCGCTGCTTCTAGTTCTCCAGAGCAGTTATCAAAAGCAGCAGTGACAACCATTCTTATGTCCCACGTCTCTAGTCAACCTTCTCGCCGCTGGCAAAGCACCCGCATTTCTTGCGTCGTAGCTTTGTAGCGCAAATCTGACTGCGCTTCAGAAAAAAGGCAACGGTGTACATCACATTGCGTTCTGTGAAATTCTCAGACGTCTGACTTCAGTGTGTCTAGCTCGAGCAGCCGGAATGGAAGCAGAGCAGCTTTTGAGGCCCTGCCAGCTGGGCGTTGCCACTAAAGGTGGTGTCGAAACTATTGTCCTGAGCTGCAGAGCCAGAACTGAGGACCTACCGGAAGGTCACAGAATCGTACAAATCGATTTTCGAATGCCTTTAATTCTATCTCTAGGTAACAGATAATAAAAGAGGTCAGAAAAAGTCAGCCCATTCTCTCTGCCTACACTGACTTTGCGACTCCAACCATAGCCAATTTGTCTACAAAGATCACCTTGCCTGAGTGAAGGCGGAGTTTAACAAGGTAACCCATTGGCCCCTTATGCCATTGGTTGGATAAATGCGAACAATGCCCTATCGCTACCCGATGAGATACCGCGTAGCCAACCAAGTGGCTTCGAATTTTTGGGAGCCACGATAAGTAGCGCGAATTTCGCTGCTAATCATATCCAGAAAAGGGTGGACAAATCACAAGTACTAATTGAAAAACAGCGAGATTGACGATCCACATATAAGAATCGGTCATCTTCGCAGTTACCTTGGAACACCCGAGCTGAAATACTCTCTCAGAATTTTTGAGCTGAATGATGAATTTTTGAGCTGAATGACGATTTTTGAGCTGAATGCCCGTGAATCTGGGTGGTCTCGGGATGAGGCGCGCTTCGGATCAACATGTCCCCGCGTTCCAAGGGTGCCTTCAACAAACATCATTGCTGACACTTTATCACCCCGCAAACCATGAAGGTTATCAGCCGAATGAGAAAGAAAAGCAAAAGTATGCAGACAAAGTTGCTCATGAACACCTGAAAGCCTGAGTACATCGACGCAATAAACGGCCAGATTTAGTTCTCCATCTTTACAGCTCACTGGTGTGTGGCTTCTCGTCTCTCGAATATCTGCCCTTGGTCTCCATCTCAGTCCATGCGAATTTCAAATTGCTTGCCAATTCAGGTTGGGCCTACCTGTCTTCAACTACACAAAAATGCATGAAGTGTACCTCGGGGAAACTGGACTCCACCGGTGATCACGCTGTAAGCTGCCCTGCAGGGAAACCGTGAGGGAAACCGTTTTGCTCGGCACAATCTTTTCCGTGATAAAATCTTCAACACCGCTGTCTCCGCCAATCTTTCTCCAGTGTTAGAGAAAGCCTATCTTATAACGGGTGTTCGAGAGAGGCCCGAGGATGCCTATCTTCCTTCATAGCGAGGTGGCCGCCCCGCTGCCATAGACATTACTGTTACTTCATCCCTCTAACTGGCTACCTTGCAACAATTAGCCATAACACCTGGCATAGCCCTCACTCTAGCCGAAGAATGGAAATCACGGCCAGTGAGTTTCATTCCTGGTGCGGTGGAGGCACTGGATGTTTGATCTGTATTTGCCCTACGGGAGTTACGTCACTTGGCATCGCTGAGAAACTCTAGCAGCCCTTGCGCAAGTGAACACCGAAGTCTACTCGGCGAGCTCAAGCAAGTTCTCTCTGTGGAACTCATGAGAGGAAACGCGACCCTCATTTTAAACAGCAACTTTGTGAAGCGTTTGTTAACTGAAGCGGTTAAGCGCTTGCTATGAATTGTGCTTAAAAAGAATTGTTTCACGCGTTTCGTCAGATTTAAAAATCGATCAAATCGTGCTTTTTTAATTTAAACGTTTGTTTGTGAATTTTGAAAATGGATAATAATTATCAGTTGCAGAAATTGTTCCTTTTTTATGTACTTCAGCATTATGAATTAAATCGTTTTTATCTAAAACTCACGAGTTTGGTAGTCATAACCTGGACTTGGCAGCTATTACTAAATTTGGCAGCCATTAATTTGTTGAAATTTCATATGCTCAACTTTCCAAAGTAATTAATCCAGAGAATTTTTTGTTTAGGATATCTTTCCAAAAGACGTTCTCTGCAGTCGTATCATCAAGTTCATGTACAATGACTTAGCAGTGGTCGGTTTCCCTATTCTAATAAGTGACCTCTCGAAGTATGAGGCCGAAAGAGGGGTCATCCGATTCAATACTTGCTTCGTATTCAATGCAGAGGTTGGTCAAGGCTATCGTCTTTTTGATATTTTCTTACCCACTTTATTTATTTCGTTCGACCGACTGTAGATTATTAGATGCCGTAAAAAGATTCGGCTTTCGATGATTAGAAGATATAATCGGGCTTTCAATTTATGGTTCATTTAGGCATTTAAACTAGTAAAACATGAAATCAATAACCCGTATTTGTACTAACTCTATGTAGTAGAAATTTTGATCCAATTCCTATGGATGTTTTAGAGTGACACTACATTATACGAGTGTGTGATCAAGAAGTTGGCTATGAGCCTGGTTCGAATGGAGCACGAGTCTAGTTTCATATCGAAGCTAGACGAACTTCAGATGCAGTCAGTCATCGATCGAGTCTACTCTGGTCTCACTCGGGATGGATTTGTCCATCTTGTACTTCCAGACTCAAGTTCAATAGCCCTGAAGCCAGAAACCAAAAATCCGCCCAGAGTTAAAATTCTTCTAAGTCAAGTGCCCACTTTGTCATGTCATCCCCAAAATCTAGTCCTCGGTCGATGGGATTTGATAACTGTGAGGGTTCTGAAACTCATCAATGGTTCCAGAAGCGTCAAAAACATAATCGACATTACAGAAGCTGAAGAGAATTTGGTTTTATCATGTTTGCAAAACTTGCTTCATCTGAAAGTAGTGGTGATGCTTCCGCGTTTTCGTTATTCTGATCTCTATATAGTGACCTCGAAATTCAATGAGTTTATGAAAGACGAGGAATTTCAGAGAACGTGCATTGATTTTGTTAGTGTGAATAGAGGAAGGAATCTGACCATAGAAACTGTTTCGAAGGTGTTCTCTTTAATTTCCGATAATCTTCCGTTGAAGAAAATTGCGCGTGAGCATTGTGATCTGCTGGACCTGAGACGTTTAGTGTTATTTTCGGTGCAGAAAGGAATCCTGAGAAAATTGTTCAAGTACCCATTTCTTGTTAGCACCAGGTCAGCATCGTTGAGTAATGCCGAGCGTAGCCTCTTCAGCTTGCAATAGGTTTCAATAAAAGGTTTCAAAGATTGTACATTGTCTTTTCCTAACACTGAAAACATCGGGATTTTTGCAGACCGGTTTTTCAGCAGACTCCAAACAATTAGCAGGTTAGAGCTCTAATTTCAAAAGCGGCCTTGGCTATCAGAGACTGCTTGCTCTGCTGCGCTTCTCTACGGCACGAGTGTTATTGTGCGTGTGAATCTTAGTTTTACCTCTAATTTAGACTTGTGTTTTTGAAGTTGATAGTTTTGTTGACAAATCGTGAGATAACTGTCTTAATTAGGGAAGCATGGAAACTATTCTCATGGGTGAAGGACTCATGGGCGAAGGACAGCGAACAAAAACAGTCGAAAGTAGTTTGTTAAAATGAGTCAATTGCCGTTCAATAAAAAGGAATTGAATGAAGCAATATTTTGTTTCTTTTATTATAACGGAAACCCTTGAAATAAAGTTTGTTTCAATTCGCCAGCGGTCAGTGACAATTTGAAAATTTTGCGTGTTTCTGACGAGTTTATATTCGGCCAATATTAATTTTAAGTCGCCAGAAACATTTACGTTCTCTGAGATTTTCACGCTTTCTTTCCAAATTTTGAAAATCTGAAATATGATTGGCTGATTTTTATTTTCGTCCATTCGGTTCTTCGACTATGAGAGATTCCACCGGGAAGTTTTTCACACGACTGAGTGTCTTTTTATTTTAGTCTTCTAGTCTGTCAATCAACCATGCGTCAGTTCATTACGTTGGTCGGCTAAAAGTCTCATTTTTCACTTTTTGTGCTAAGATAGTTTTCTGCTAAACGATCCGTTCCCGTACTGAAAGCTTAGGAAAGGGGACAGATCGCTTAGCAGACCAATCTGCTAGCATAAAAAGTGAAAATTGTCTAATAATAGTCAAATAATAAACTAATAATAGTTTTTTTAGCAGACTGACGTAATAAAGAGATGCATGATTGATTGACAGACTCAAAAAAGACAACTTCAAAACACAATAGTCTAAATTAGTTGAAACTACAGATTTGCGCGCACAATAAAACTCTCGGTTAATGGAAGCGCAGCGGAGCAAGCCGTCGCCAATGCTGATTTTAAAGCTAGAGTTGTGACTTGCGAATTGTTATGAGTCTGCTAAAAGATCGGTCTGATAAAAAAACCAGTCTGTTGAACTTCCTAGCACATTGAGGAAAATATCGTACTTGTTTTTTTCTTACGCCAAATCATATCGGAATATCTTCTTGGAATGTAGAAACGTAAATCTAACTTCTTTTATGATTAATTACTTAGTAATATAACGGTGATTGTTATAGATGATTTTTTTTCAGCTCTTTTCTGGAAGAAATCCAGAAGAAGGTATCAGAAATTTCGTCATCTAGAGCCTACCGTGAATCAAATAATTATGAAAATGTGACTAAGTGTGATCCTCTGAGGGTGCCGATCATTAAAAGCTCCAGTATCTCTACTAGCAACACTTCAGTTAGCCGACAACAACAGGTGATGGATCAGAATATGTGGTTCATTGTAAAGCAGGCGAGAAGTTCAGCTTTTAATAGGTTTTTAAGTTTTGCAATTCAAGAACGCCAATGAATAATGAAATCAGTATCCAAAATGATAAAATTGATGGCTAGTTTTAACTGTATATCGTGGTTGATTTTTTTGAACGTAATGGAAAATCAGTTTTTATACGTGTCGAAAGTTGTTTCGCTGTCGATTTTGATATGGAAGAATATGTGTACCATGTATTCTGATACAATGACCAAACTACAGCCTCTGCTCCCTTCACCGAGCCCAATGGCGGCAACAAGTTCAAATACATTGCCAAGAGTGCACCAGAAGATGAAACTTCCACCCTCTGTGATTGAGGAAGAGTCTTTGGCGTCCATGAAAGAAAATGGAAGAAAGGCGATGCAGAAGGCGGAACTTGCGTTGGCTAAGTTGAAGACTAAGTACTTTGATGGGTCACACCACACGGAAGAATTGGCATGTTTGTTTGACCAGAATTTGGCTGAATTTGAAGACATGTTGGAAAGCTCGCCTGATGTCATTATTTACATGAAGTAGAATAATTAAGCTTCGTTCATCTACTTCATATTAGATGTTTAATGTTTATGTGATGATAAAATAACGACTGAAGGGTATCCATAATATTTCGATTAGCAATCTCATAAATCAAGATAATCATTTAGACATGAAAATATTCTTGAACTCTCAATTTTACGTGACAATTTTTCAGTCTTACGGGCCCCACTTTTTTCTTATTTTTGACTTCTATGTTAGCGAACCAAATCTGCATTTTTCCACAGGTTTTAACGCCTATGACTTGACATTGCTGCCTACACCACACAAAATGTACATTTCAGATGTGAAAATGGAGTTGTCGATACGGTATTTACAGAAATCAAAAGGCTGTGTTATGAACTTTCGAACATTATGCAATGTGCCCAGCAGACTAAACTCAACGAATAAAGTTTTGAAAATATGTGATTTCGAAGAGAATGCAAGAAGTTTTCGATCGATATCAACCGCAGAGAAAATTGCGAGATGTAAGTTAGCTAGCTTGTACAGATTACTTTATATCAGTGGTTGGGCGGAGGATGTTTTGAATCACGTGACACTTCGATTACCATCTAAAACAGCTATTAGTTGTAATAATGATAATCAGATTGATGAGACTTTTCTTATCAATAAGTTTGGGCTGCAATACTGGGAAGTGACTTCTTCTAATTTGGTGGAAGCAACCTTGTCGGACGACGCCGAGATAGTGTCACCAGGAAGCAATTGTGGGGTTCGTGCGCATGTTAGGAAATAAGATTTGGTATAGTTTTGTTGCTAATTGAAAACAACAGTCTTTAAACTTCACTGAAACTTCGGGGAAAACAGTTTTCGTGATGAAAAACAGTTTTTGAGTTTGAAATAAGCCTGCAAAGGCGAAACTGAACGACCGGACCGAAGAACTGGTTAGATTATTTATCATTTTTCTGATGTTGGCTTTTCAGTTGGTAATTTTTTTGTATTGTTTCCTTTTTATCTTAAATTCGTTTCGAATCATGAGTTTGTTTCGTTGAACTAATAATGCACGAACCCTGAAATTACAAGAGACTGTTTGATAGCCTGTGGGATTAAACAAAGCAGGTGTTGTCCTGCACACAGCTCTACACAGGGCGCGTGAAGATGTCGAGTGTATCGTGCATTTTCACCAGACGGACGTGCAAGCTGTGAGTTGATTACACACAAGGTATACTGATTCATTCTTAGTTAATGCAATTAGCATGGTTCGTATGGATTAAAGGCATGATCATGGTGGCAACCCTACACTTTACACTATCTTTTCACTTTGAATTTTAAATTGATGAGAGAAAGAGAGTGCTGCGTGCAAAATGGCAGCTGGGAGCCAAAACTAAGAAAGTATAGACTGCTGGGACTTTTTGAAGCATAACTTGATTTCAATGGGCATAGTATGAACGAGTAAGGCGTTCACTCGAAAGAAATTTTCGTCAAAATCCGAGTAAAGTTAATTGACGGAAGTTACTCACAGATTGAAGAATCCAAAAAGTTTTCAACTTGAAAAATAGAGAAATTTATCATAGAAAAATCAATGTGTCTGAACTCTAAAAAAAAAACTCTGTTCACCGAAAAAATTGCATGACAAAAATAACAAAATAAAGCAATCAATTTCAACAGAACTTCTGAAGTCAGATGCTCAGTCGAGTCATCATTGCTGAATAAGTTCAAAAAAATAACTAGTAAACAATTTGAAGAAAACCATTAACGCTCTGGCAGAGAGTTTTTATTTACTCGATCCTTTACCCAATTACATGTTCAAATCTATACGAGAAGCTTGGAAAGAATATCTATCTATACTATAATTAAATGCGTGTGACAGCTGTCTCCCATGTTTAAGCATAATAATTTTGCATGTTTTACGAAAGAATTTTTTCATGTTTAAGCTATATCGTATATTGCAATGGTTAAAGAGTTTTTCGATTTTCCAGTTGAATTCAGTGTTTATTCAACCGAGCTTATAATAAGCAGCCTAATAGTGGAATATGTCAGGGCTCCCCCAGTGGTTGAGTTTTTGACCTCCAATTATGAACGCCCAAATCCTTTTAAGTGTACGAGATACGACGAGTTATGTGGTTTTTCAAGTTTTTCAGAAAACCCCAATTACAAAAAATTATACAAAATTTGAAACTCGAGTCCTATACAAAGTTCCTATCTCTATAGTGAGGCTCTGTCGGGTTATTCCTTGGAGTTGCAAATTTTTTCTCAAAAAATGACTGCTCAAGTCGTTGTAGTTTTTGAGATATGACGGTTTTTGTGATTTTTTTCAAAAAAATTTCAGAAAACTCAAATTTATTTTTTTTCTTGCAAATTTGAAATTTCCAATTCTTTTCTTGGGGGCTATCAGAGTATTCTCAGGGGTTTTGAATCTTGCCGTCAAATAGGGTTGCTCAATTCTCTGTAGTTTTCAAGATGTGACTTTTTGTGTTTTTTCAAAAAAAATTTCAGAAAGTTTCAATTTTGTCTTCAAAATTTGAAATTCCTTAACCTGTGAAAACACTGGTAGTTGGGCGCAGTCAGAGCACTCTCAAGGGTTGCGAATCTTGCCTCCGATTTTGGCTGCCCAAATTTTTGTTGTTTTTGAGATATGACGTTTTTTATGGTTTTTCAAAAATAAAATTAGAAAACTTAAATTTGAAGTTTCGCAAAACTTGAAGTTCCTAACGCTGTAGTAGGGTACTGTGAGAGTACTCTCAGAACTTTCAACTCTTGGGTTAAAATACGACTGCTCATTTTTAAAAAATTATTTCTCGATTCGTGGCGTTTTTTTATGTCATTTTAAAACTTTTCAAAAGAACTAGGATAAAAAACTTAGTTTGAATTTAAAAACTCAAAAAAACTAATTAACAAAATTTGAAATTACCAAACTTGTAATCAGATGCTGTCAGAGTACGTTCAAAGAATGCAGATCTTTTTTCCAGCATATGCGATTTTCTTTAAAAAATCGAAGCACCGAAGGTGCGTTACACGCTAGTGTTCCTTTTACCCCGATGACAAGTTACAAAGACAGTGTTTTCCCAACAAGGTAACCGACAGCCACAATAAAACCGACGCTAAAGAAACAAAGACTTGATCTAGAACTGTTGTAAATTTACGGACCTGTTGCTAATACAAGGTTCCTTAGTAAATTCGTTCAAAGAGTCGCAGCTGAGCAATTGAAAGGTCTCCAAAAAATGATATGGTGGACGAAAATCAATCTGCTTACCGAGAAGTTTTGAATGAGTTGGATGCAAACAAAATTATTATCGTTCTTGTTGTTAATCTCTGCTAGTAACATGAGATGTTACACACCACTTACAGAACATTTTGTACACACCACTATCCGTATCTTTGTAACATGATTCATTGTCCTTAAGGAAGTTTTCCACGTATATTTCCATAAGTGGAAAAATTCATTTCAAATATTTACCTCACCTCGTTAAAAATACCTCAAATCCTGGGCATAAAAGGGCTGATTGACTTTCTAAGTTCTCTTATTGAGAAGCCGTAAGACAACGTTCAGTAAATCCAACCTGTGTACTTAATCAAAACTTGACCCTATAAAAAGTATTTAAAAAAATAAAGCAAGTATACTATCATCGTCGTTTGGTCCGGTTGAGGACTGAGCAATGAAAAGATTGTGGATTGATAGTGGAAACTGGAAGTTTTAAGGAAAAATAGCCCGGTTGAGGGCTGCAATATCACCACTGAGTCCAGTTTTGGATAAACCAGGCGATCATAATCATCCTTATCTCTCATGTCAGGAATCAGTTCAAAAATAAGACAACTCTCAGTATATCACTGCCACAGCCCCGCCAATGTGTTGCGAGCTTGCCATTAGAGGGTAGGAATTCATACGAAAATAAAAGCCGGTCATTTTTTCGACTCGAGCCCACCGGCAACGTTAAGCTGATTTTCTGAAGTTATTACGTTTGCGATAGCAAGTGTTTTACAACCGGGTACTAGACAAAATTAGAATTGGTTAACTTAGATTCAGTTAATTCCGCAATCAATTTTCTTTGAGTCACAGGCGCACTTGGTCCTGGGACGGAAGCAGAATGCGTATCTCAGAGCTTGCTGCTTGCGAATCTCACAGGACCCCTTTTTTTTACAAGCAGTAAGTATTCTGTGTACACTTAATTTCAGACTTGGACATTTGTCGCTTTCCTTAAATGTTGCGTGCGAGTTGTTTTATTTTGTTACGAGTTGTCTTTTGTTGCGAGTTGTCGCGGTACCAGAAAAGTTTTGTACAAAATTTGTTGATTTGATTTTTAAAACTTTGTGTAACCGCAAAATGCGGTGCCAGAATTGAACGTCAAATGTAGTTGAGCAATATATCACTCTAAAAATTTTGCAGCGGCGATAGTATTTGCTCTGGTATATGTTATTGTTGATTGCCCTTGCGGTTTGCAGAGGCACCACAAACGGGAAGCATACTTTTCCCCCGTAAATATCTTTGTTCACTGGTTTACTGAAATTGGTCATAGCAGGGAATTTAAGTTATGGTCATCTTTTACCATCCGATTGTGTTTTCTAAGAGCTGTCCCTACTGTAGCTGAAATAGCATAAAAATTGCTTTTTTGTTTGCAGTATATTTTTTTGACTTTTTTTAAGTTTTAGTTATTTCAACCTTTTGAAAAAAAATTTTTTTTTGTTGTTTTTGAATTCAATTGTGAGCACCTTTTCTTTTATTTACTTAGTTTTTTATGCCAACCAAAAGTTTCCGTTAGTAACAAAAATATTTAAAATTAGATGTCTGGTGTTTTTAGTGGCATGGATTTTGGTTAATTTTTTCCGTCTTAGGTTTTGGAATTTGTTCTTTTCAGTCTTGTTATCGGGAACTAGTTTAATTTAGCATCCTGACTTCTTTAGATGTCATCCTGATTCTGAGAAATGTAGGTATAAGTCGATTCAAGCTGTTAATACTTTGAATTAATTGAAGTTAAGTTCATTAAAAGTATTCATTTATTTGGATGGAAACTTCACTGTAGCAATGGAAATTGCATAAAATATGTTCTCTGCTTTATTTTTGGCTAATGTTTGGTGCCTATTTAGCTTCCGTGGCTGAGTGATTAGTGTGTGTGTGTGACTCCTAATCTCTAGGTTGCTTTTTCGAATATCAAAGCTAGCCAAACTTTTACTAATTCGAGGCTTACTCTAACTTTTTATTCAAATTTCTAGAGCTGCTTTTTGTCGTCTTCTCGCAAGTGTTTGTGAAGCGAAGCTTCGCCTCTGTGTTGAGGATGTTCTTAGAAATCTTTAGCTCTTAAAAAAATTGGCAGATTGTTTTGTATCGCAAGTTGTACAAAGCTCTGTTTTGTCTCTTTGAATTTGGAAAAAATAATTTTGGGAAAAGTCGAAATTAATTTTTGATTTCTCAATATTATATGAACGATTTTTTTATATGGGTATTTTTTTTCAAGGATCAGTTGAAATATCTTGTAAACTAGCTTGAAAGCCAAGAAATCAAATAGCGGCAAGTTTTTTTAAAAACTAACTAATTTTTGGGCGATTTGAGCAGTTAATTTTATTAATTTTTTTTGCCGCTTTTGAAATATAAATTAACTCTTTAGATTGCTGATTTTGTCTTCGCATACTCTTTTGTTTCGCTAATGGCGCGAAACTCCGTTTTTTCTCTTTGCTTAAGATTTTGAAAAGGCTGCAAGCGTTCTGCTGATTGGCCCGAAGTATTTTTGTTCTGGCTTTTTCCAATGCGGCTGAGCTCTAATCTGATGAAATCTTTGAATTAAGCTACTGTTTCACTTGTACCGTCCTACCTTACTTGCACAGCTAAAATTCCCTCTGCCATCATAATTCTGGTTTATTTATTGTCTGTTTTTCTTCTGCATTTTCGAACTCCGTTCAATCGTTGGTTGTTGACTGGAGCGCAACGTCAAGTGGCTTGAAGTTGTCTATCTAAGGCATTAAAATAGACCAACTAGTTTTAGAAGAACACTCTGGAAGAGGCGCGAAAAGCACGCTCTCTTCTATACAAGAGCGTTAGACCCGCATCAAGTTTTTTTTAAATGAAATTGTTAGTTTTTGTAATTTTACTCGTCCAATTTTACCTCATAAAGCACGCACTCAATTATGATATACATTTTTTTTAGCTCAATTGAATCATTAATTTTTGCTGTCTTTTGTTTTGTCGAATTTCGCTCGGTCAATTTACTTGACTACGTTAATTATAAATTCACAGCAGTGTAATATGCGTTTAAACCAAATTTAAGCAAGAAATCGAATAATTTTTAAATTGAATCACTCAGATAATTATGACTAGCGAGGGGAGCAGGATATTATATTTGAATTTTATGTGTAGTTGAAAGTATAGGGCGAAAGTTTGACCTGTATTTTGGGAGCTTGAGCTGTATTCGACTCATTCAACAACATCTTACGTAATCTTTTGATAGACTCTGCATGGGCCGATCTAGGTTTTTGTTGACCTTTTTTAAGGTCAACCAAATTGAGTTTTCGAGCTCTCCCAATGCACTAAAAAGAGCCTTTTTTGGTCCAAGTTTTTGCACCGCTGACAAACTTTTGAAAAATTCTGACCAAAAAATCGCGCTCTCATTTTTAATGGCGCGCGCTCACCCCTCAAAATTAATTGGCCTTTTTAGGAAATTTAGGGCCAGCCAGCCTAAAATAGAGGTCTTAAAATAGTTTCAAAGGGGGGACCTTTTGGGTAGTCAGAGGGTCAAATCTTTGAGGGATTTTTCCAGCGAAAAATTCCCGGCCGTCATTTTGTTTCAACATGTCGCAGTACAGAAAAATTCCCAGCTGTCACTTGTTTCCAGGTTTTGTAACTTGAAAAAATCTAACTATGAACAAAGTTACACCACCTTCTACATCAATTTGATAGAGTATGTTAACATTACTCCTAGATTGATTAATGAAAATACCGACTAACAAAAATCAAATCGGAAACCAGATATTTCATTGGAACTAAGCTGTTAGATTTTACAAATAATCTCGTGCAGCAGTAAACTAAGTCACGCGCCCCATTATGCCACTGGTGCCAAATGTAGACGGAGCGGAGCAAGGGTTCGTTTCTCGCAAATTCCGCTTTTTTAATGAGGCATCAAACTTTGTCTGTTTCCTCAGAGTTTACGAGTTATCCATTTTTGTTCCTCGTGTGTTTTGTTACTCGTGTTTTTGTTACTCGTGTGTTTTCAGTTGTCGGCTTTGAAGTGTGGTTTGCTGAAGACATCTCTGGAGTCGTGTATCTTGGGAGGAGTCTCCCGGCACTCCTTCAGAGGCATCACAATTCACCAGGAGGAACGGAAACAGTTGAGACAGAGTTTGGGAAAAACCAACAAGGTCAGCAGGGCCTGCATACTCTTCATTTCACTCTGAAACGAAAAAGCCACTTCAATTAGAAAAAGCAATTAGAGGAATTTGTTTCATTTCTCAATACCATATCAACCATATTTTTTTCTACATGTGTGCAATTTTCAATCGGCGGTTCAAAGCAATTTGAGCAGTTAAAATAATTTCTGTTTCAAATTTTCGCCTCTTTAGAATTAAAAAATGGTATTTTAGATTGCAGTTTTTGTTTTTCTGTCAAAACAGATTTGGAAAGGGTGAAACTGTTCTCATTGGTTCTGTTTGTTTTAGGTGATGATGCTGGACAACCATGGCGCTGTGGTGTGTGGCAGTTCAGTGGAGGAGACATGGCAACTCACCACTCTATTAGTGCACGCAGCCAAATCACAGGTAGGCGCATAGGAGGGGTAAGGAAAGTCAAACTGTTGTCAAGTGTAGATAGAGATGAAGAAACTCCAAACGGACAACTCGTTTTTTTGGAATCTGAATCAATCCAGAAAGCTTCAATATGACACGAAACTTGACCCTCTAGAAACCGATTGATTAAAAACCATACATAAAAAATCTATGAAAAAAAAATTTAAAAAAAAACACTATAGCAAAATTTCTCCCTATCTTCAGTAGTCGGAACAACTTTTTGGAACTATTAGTATCGGTGCCTTACTTTATTTCAGCGATAGCTTTTTTAAAGGTTGTTGTAGATCCAATGCATTTTGTGTAGATAACAATGTATTGCGTTGTTCGATAAATCACCATAAATACGTATGTTTTTAAATCAAATTATATGTGTGAGATCTTGAAGTAACCAACAACATGAGTTGGTTAATCATCGAGAATGAAATGATAAGTGGGTTGATTATTTGTTGTAGTTGACTGCGCTGCAAGCGGTCGGAGGGGATGAATCGAAGTTGGTTCTAATTGAGGAAGAGACGGCACAGCGCACCTACGAAACAGCCTGGAGTGGCAATTTACACGGAAGAGATTTAACAGACACGGTGTCTCATTCGGGAGAAAAGGGAAAGAGCATTGCTGGCGAGGGGATCGAAAATGAAGCACTTACACAGAAGTTTGGAGTCCGTTTGTTCAACTCTGAAATTAGACGACTAGACTTCATGGGATATAACACTGGTCTAACTTGATTATTGCTTGATGATTTGAATTAGCTTGGAATGATTTGAATTGGATCGAATTGAACACAATCTACTTAATGTGATTACATTCAACTCGAAGTAATTTCTGATCGGTAGACTAGATAGAGGAATTAAAAACAGACAGTGAGTTTGATAAAGGTTGTTAAAACTAGAATAATTAGACCATCTCATATGCCTTTTTAATCATTTTTTAAATTAAATTATCAATCCTTTTTTCAATTTTTTTTGTATATTTTGAAAGCGGCGTAGCAAGCAATCACAACTAAAGAGCAAGAAACCAGTTTATTGAATAAGGTTGCTTCGGAAAGGAGCAACCCGGATCTTTTTTTTATTGTACAATGGACTATTCTAAACGGAAAATGAGCTTTTTGGACTGCAAGGTCTCTGTATGGGTGTCTAGTAGCTCCTAATTAGAAGCAGCTCCTGTTTGATAAAACAGGTTATATGAAAGTGCATGTGATTTGTTTTTTTTCTATTTTTTATTTGAGAAGCTTCGGAAATTTTTCACTATTCTCATAATTAATAGTTTTTATCGAAAACTATTTTTTTTCGGTTTTCAAAAAAATTGTGCCAATAGAAAAACGACCACTCCATTGTGTATCTGCATATACGACTAGTCTCTTTACTGCGTACCCCTTTTGCAGCGGCTGCGCCCATTTTGTTTAAAAAGTTATTGTTTTCGGAAAAGTAAGATTTTGGATTTTTTACATATACTAAATTTTTGATTTTTTGAAAACTATCCACTAAATGTGAAAACTACCCTCCCAAAAATTGAAAATTAGAAATCCGAGGGTCATACCTTTGTATTAAAAAAAATGGGCGTAGAAGCTCCGCTGCATAAGCGGCTACTCCCAAACTTTTTTTACACAAAAAGTTATGGCCCTCGGAAAAGTCAAGTTTTCGGCTTTTTGAAGTTTGACTTCTTTTGAAAACTACCCAGCCGAATCTGAAATCAAGGTTTTATTTAATCAGGGGCGGATCTTGGATTTTCTCGAGTCGAGGGGGCGGATTTGGACGACCTTTTTTTTTAAGGTTGACCAAATTGATTTTACGAGCTCTCCTAAAGCACTAAAAAGACGCTGTTTTGGCCAAATTTCCTGTGCAACAGGCTAATTTTTGAAAAACAGGTCAAAAAAGCCGTTTTGGGCACTTTTTGGAAAATTTTGACCAAAAAAATTGCGTTTTTTGGTGCGCGCTCCCCCTCAAAGTTAGTATATATTGGCGCCTTTAGAAAAATTTAAGGGTCGGTCGGCCAAAAATGGATTTCTTAAAAAGTACCTCCTAAGGGGGGACCCTTTGGATCGGCAAGGTGTCTAATCCTTAAGGGAAAGGCGTACACCACCCCCCGCCCCCTCAAATCTGCCCCTGGTTTTAATCGAGGCTAACATTTCTGGGAAGCCTCCGTTCATAAGTGCCTACGCCTCAAAATTTTAAGAAAAATGTACTTTTTATTCTTCAGATTAAAATGGAGAGACCCAGAACAAGGATCGGATCCGCAATAGGTCAGAGACCCGGAAGCTCCATGCGGGTGGCTGGGGGACCAAGGGCACCCAACATGCAACCCCCTCCCTCTTCGATGGGAAGACAAGGGGGAGTGTTTGCATCGGGCGGGTCAGGAAAAACGGGAATTACGGACCGACCAGTGACAAAACAAGGAGTGGCTAATCCGAATAAGCTGAAGACAGGGTATGCTAACAGGAACGTGAAGGATTCGGGATATCACAAGTACAGTATAAACGCCAAGTGCAACGAGATAGAGGCGAAAACTAATGAGTTCCAGCAGAAGACGGAAAAAATCTATCGCGACATGGAACAGTTTGGACCGATGGTGGAGAAGGCGGAGAAAACTGCAAAGGAATTAGCAGATTTGCAGACCCAATTTAGATCTATTAATTTAACAAAGGAGTTGAAGCAACGTGGAGAGTTGAATGAAGGGGCAATTGCTGAAGATATCGAGCGGTGCAAGGAGGATAACAGTAGTAAGCGAAGGGATATTGAAGACTTGATGCAGAGAAAAGAAAAAATCGAGAAGCGAACGCGACAAATTCTGGAAAAGATTGAGCACGAAGAGCAAGTGCGCGAACAAAGTTTGAAGAGTGCGTTGCCGCGTGAAGAATATGAAAGAGTTCTGGAGAAACAGAAAGAGCTGAAGGATATTTCGGAGACAATTCCACAAGAGAAGGAGAAGTTATCCCAGAAAAACTTACAGGTTGAAGATAAGCTAAAACGTTTGAAAAGTCAGCACCCGGAGAAATTTTATGCCTACTCTTTGTTGATGAGGATCAAAGAAATGGCTATCGAGAGACAGAGATTGCATGATAAGAATAATAAATTCGACCAGGAAGCAGAGCAAAACCGGCTGATGGATGAAATTCAAACGAAGAAGCAAAGAATCGAAGAGCTACGAGGTCGGCTGAATTATCTGGTTGGAGAGAATCGAAGTTTGAACGACCGTTTGAATAGCTACGAAACTGACTCACATCTGCAGCCGGATCAGATGGAGAAATTGAGGAAGTTGAATGCAAAGCAAGCTGAAATGAAACACTTCAAAGAGTCGTTTCCGGAGTTGAAGCGTGAAGAGATCGAAAAGATTCAGAATATTCAAGACGTGAATGAAAATTTGATTCAGCAAATGGCGTCAAAGAGAGAAATGATGAAGAGTGTTCCATCGCACGAGAAGTTTGGAGAGATGCAGAATACCCTGGAGTTCAAGCAGTCGGAGATGGAGAAGGCAGAGAGCACTCATTCGGCTGTTGCCGCTCAGAAATATCAGCTAGTAAACGACCTGCACAAGATGGAACAACTACTGCCTCGAATCTTATCGGAAGCGGGCGAGCTACAGAATCAGTTGAAGTCTCTAAACGAAGAAAAAATGCTCTATGGAGACATTAAAGGACTAGAAAACAGAGAAAAAGAGCTCAAAATTGCGCTTTCAGCCGAAAAGGAGAGTCTACAAAAGCGTATGGACTGGGTGAAAAAAGACGTGACATATCTGGAAAAAAGTCGAGATGATTTGAAATCAGCTCTGTCGGCGAACGAGACGTACTCCCAGCTGAAGGCTTTGGAGCAAAGGTGAGAGGGGGCTTAATGTTGTTGTTGCGACCTGCACCAAGAGTTTTTGAGTGGTATAGTTTATCTGTTTTGCATCATCGCAAGATCAAATACAACAGATAATTCAAAAGAGATTTTTTTCAAGTTTTTTGAATCATTCATTATACTTCAAAATGATTTTCCGCTGTTAGAAAACGATCCGAATGCTTTTGTCTTTACAGAATATTGGCTAATGCAGACTGGTTTTTTCGGTTATTTAGTATGCGTTTAATCAAATGTATATATGGAAAATGGTGAGAATTGAAGGAAATATGTAAAAGAGGAGTGTTGTGTTGTGCTGTTAGATGGGTTGCGGAGGAGCAGAGGAACGCGACCCTGGCTGACTTCATTGGGGAGAAGGAGGCAAAGATAGACTGTGCCCCTGTGAGGGCAGAGGGTCTGAAGAAGATGAAGGACATCAACCAAATTCTTCTGGCTCAACTCAAAACACCCTACTGACCAGGCAGCACACCACTTACACGTGTCACTTTCAAAATCAAGCTATCAATTAACAGCAATTAGTGCAGCAGTTCACAGGCGAATCGGAACACTAAGTTGTGAAACAGGCTTAAATGGTGCATTGGAATCTGAAATAGTAAACAGCCAAGATAATTGTTCAAATTAGATGGTTCTTTGATCACTACCACAAGGGATGGCGAGTGGTAATTTAAGAAATAAGACGACAAGCAAATTAGACAACCGTAACGAAACTGAATTTACGGACTTACCAGTATTTACTTAGCCAAAAGTTAATTCAAGTCTGTAAACAAGTTTCACGCAATTTGCACGCAAGTTATTGTCTAAATTCCGATATTTTCTGATCGTCTAATTTCCTGTCGTCTATGTTCCTTGACCCCATAATTTAGTTACTCATTGTGTAAATGTAGATTTATGTACAAATGTAAATTTTCAATATTATCCAAATTCATGTTCTGTGCCAAAAATGTTTCAACAAATCAATTTATTGAAAAAAATGCTTAAAAATATCAAATTTCGGTTGTATGCCGCGTAAACAATTTAACGTGTACAGCGCTGGTTACCTTAATGCACTCAAACGCTCTGATATAGTGTGAAACAGGTTAAATTCTTGGGAGCGTTAACTGTATTTGAAAAATCAACATGTGGAAGTCCAAAGGTCTATATGCTGCTATCTTCAATGGAAAAGTTTTTTTAGTGCTATCGAGCTCTCAGTGGTTAACTATGCAATTAGAAAAACCTTTCTTAATTTTGTCAATTGGAATTTCAAATGAATAATTGTGATTCAATGAAGTAAGGAGTGGAATTATATAAACTAAGGATCAAAAAACGCTCTTTGAAAAGGCAATTGAAATTTAAGTCAGGCATTGAAGTAAGTTTGAAAAATGAAAAGACTTTTTGTTCTAGGGACATAGTGGGTAGGAACTTTGTATTTGGGTGTTATTTTTTCACGCAAAGTTGTCTTCAGCCTGTATTTGGGTGTTAATTTTTCACGCAAAGTTGTCTTCTGCCCAGTTCTTTCCACCTTATTATCTGGTTCTACAATTGTATATCGATGCGATTCAGCTGTATATCACTGTGAAGCCTTGTAGGAATGATTCGTTGTTTGATCTGCTCAAAACCATTCTTATTCAGCACTACTTAATTGTCGAGACCCCTCCCCCAACACAAAGCGACTTCTCATAGACCCCACTCCCCCTAGAATATTGACCCCTTCTATTTTTTTGGGGTGGGGGTCTGAATGGCACCACAGAAATTTTCATAGCATAAGGTTTACACCCAGAATTAAGGGAAGCATGCCATTTTTAAGAGCTGGAAATCAAAAAATTGTTTTTTTTTTAACGCAAAACAGTTGTCGCCTGGATTAAATGACAAAAAATTTAATGCCAACTTTTAAATTCGCGAACACTTTTGGCTTGATTTTACCTTCATAATTATCAGAATCGATCCAAATTTGCGAAACCACCCTGATAATTTTGAATCTCCACTCAATTTGGTTTTGAATTTGTAGATTTGATGGATGTTGAGGATGATTTTGAGGACTTGGAGCCGTCTCTGAAGAATGTGACAGAGAGTAAAAGTCTCAAGTGGATCTTCGTGGGAGGCAAAGGCGGAGTGGGCAAGACTACCTGCAGCTGTTCATTAGCTGTCCAACTCTCTCTGGGTTTCGACATCGCTTGTTTCAATATGTGAACAGTTTAACAGAATATCTGAAATTCATCTAGAGAACAGCTGATTAGAATCATTTTTGTTTGGCCAGCTTGATCACAAAGTTTCAAGGCTGTCATTTAACTTTCTGCTCATTTCAAATTCTTGCTAAATATTTCTTGTGCTAAATTGGCATATTTTAGCACCCCCATAATGCAAAAATCATTATGAGATGTAAAAATCCGAACAATTTCTCTTACATGGAAATGTCTGTTAAAATTAATTTTGAGATAGCTTTTTTCAGAAATCGGGTAGTTCGAGTAATTGAAATATAGCCTAGTTGTCTTCTAGATTTTTATTATTCAAAAAAATGTTTTAATTTCATTCGAAACTTTACGGTAGAACGTGCATCTAAATAAAGAGAAGGTTTCATTTTAAAAACACCAGAGGTTTTACAGTTTGCGAGTATTTCAATTGGGCGTGTCGAAACCCTCACTTGTCCCCCAGTGCGAGAAAATGTGCTGATTATTTCCACTGATCCCGCTCATAACATATCTGACACTTTTGACCAGAAGTTCAACAAGTCCCCCTCCTTGGTAAATGGCTTCACCAATTTATACGCCATGGAAATTGACCCCAATTTGGGGCTAACTGACCTCCCGGACGACTATTTTGACGAGAAAGATGTGATGCGAAGTGGTCGCAAGATGATCCAAGAACTGTTCTCTTCATTTCCAGGAATTGATGAGGCCATGAGTTATGCGGAGGTCATGAAACTAGTGCAAGGCAGGGGCGCTATGATACAATGCGTGGTACTAGGCAGTTCAAAAAAGTTGACGCAAATAATGTTACACTTGACAACCAGATTAATCTTGTGAGGTAAGAGGAAATCGATTGGGAACAGAAAAGTATTTGAAAGCTCACGTTGAATTGAAAAAAGAACAAAGTTTCAAAGAAAAAAGAAAATTTCAAACACTGATAACTATTGCAAGTGTACCACAATTTGTACCATTTCGTCCAGGCATGAACTTCGACGTTGTTGTGTTCGACACTGCGCCTACTGGACACACGTTACGATTGCTTTCTTTTCCGGCGGTTATTGAGAAAACTCTTGGCAAGTTTTTGGCGCTGAAAAACCAATTTGCTCCATTAATTAGCTCTTTTGGAAGTATGTTGGGCGAGGATTTCTCGCCTGAAGAAATGACAGGTAGAATTGAAAGCATGTTACCCTTGATGAGAACAGTAAACCAGCAGTTCAGAAACCCCGATCAAACCACATTCGTATGTGTGTGTATCGCTGAGTTTCTATCCGTTTACGAAAACGAGCGGCTGATTCAAGAGCTTACGAAACAAGGAATTGATACGCATAATATAATTGTGAACCAGTTGCTCATGCTAGGTTCTGACAATGGAGAGCAGGGTGATGACAAGCCGTGTAAAATGTGTCTAGCCAGAGTGAAGCAGCAGAAAAAGTACTTAGATCAAATTGCAGATCTATACGAGGGAGATTTCCACGTGATCAAACTTCCTCTTCTTGATCATGAAGTGCGAGGAGTGGAAAATGTGACATCTTTTTCGAAAAATTTGATTGAACCTTATTCTGCTGCGAATAGAAGTTGCTAACTCGCTTTACAGTTGCTATATAGATTTCATTTTTTTCGATGCTGTTACCGATAACATCAGTCACAAATATGCGTCAGTGAGTATCATGACATAATACTTTAGTGAACAAAATTAAGCGCAAATTCAGGCTTTTACTCTCTAAAATGCCTGTTTTCAATGTCCATTTTTGACAACTCTTACTTCGATTTTTGTAACATTTTACCTAGAACACGAGCAAATTATTAGAGCTACCGTCTCTGAAACTATCAATAATTGGTTTCCTTGACTCACCAATGTAATCCGGGTCTGAAAATGCCAGTTTTCCTCATCTGCACTAAGTTTTTTTGATTCGCATGAACCATTTTTTTACTCTGCCTATTCAAGAAAGATTTCACTTCGATGCAAAACTTAGTGCTGATGAGGAAAACTGGCATGTTCAGACCCGGATTTTATTGGCAAGTCAATGAAACCAAATATTGATACATTCACAGCTGGTTACTCTGATCATTTGCTCTAGGTCAATCTAAAATTTTTATTGAATTTCGAAGGAATTCTTGTCTAAAATGGATATTTAAAATAGGCAATTTAGAGAGTAAAATCCTAAACTTCCGCTTAATTTTGTCCACTACTGTAACTTCAAAAAAATGTTGAAACTTATTTAATAATTAGATGAAAAGCTGAAGGGTCTGACTCATAATTTAAAAAATAACCCGCTCGCGCTAAGAAACTGTACTTCAAAGTAAATAGCGAGTTGGATGACCTTATCTTGGTCTTTTTGCGGGAGAGGGATGGAAGAAGTTGACACGATAAGTCGCCGAAGCTCATTTGAGTTCCACCAATTTTATGTAGTAAACGCATTTATGTATAGAAAGTAGAAAATATAATTACCCTTACGATAAATAGCTTTGTTCGAAGTTTGATCAAAAATAAAATTGGTAAATTTAGGTTCAGCTCATAATTAATTCAAATTTCTTTGTCTCCGGCACTTTTGGTCTGGAGGGAACATATACGCCTGGTATGGCAAAGGACCATACTGTAACGACAATGCTTGGGACAGCCTAGTTCCTGAATTTAAAAAGAATAGTTAGTTGCCCATTCACGTGCTTTTCGTTATTTTGTGCTGTAAGTAATTTTCATTGTAGATGCAAGAGTTTTCATTGTTCCCGACCATTGAAAGTGGGGAGGAACTTTGTTTTCGGGTATTTTAGTTTTTTTTGCTTTTTGTTGTCCCCGCAAAATCAGGTACCACAAATAATGATCGGACTGGGTTGAGTGATATATCAAATTAAAACCCTTTGCAAGGGGTCGAACCTCTGAGTGACGGAGGATATATACAGGGGTGGATCTAGGATTTTGTCGAGGGGGTCGGGCGAGTTTTCAAAAAAGTTTTTCGGTTCCACAAATAGTTTTTCCGAGCACTTTTAGAAGACAACAAAGACCTAAAGACCTCTTCTTTGACAAAATTTGCCGAGCTGCTGGCCACTTTTTGAAGAAGAAAAAAGAGGCAAAGAACGTTTTCTCTTTCCTTTCTTATTGTTCCGACCATTTGAAAAATGAGGAGGAACGTTGTGTTCGGGTGTGTTTTAATTTTTCCTTTTTTTTGTTTTCCACGCAAAACCAGGTACCACAAATAATCATCGGACTAGGTTGAGTGATATGTCAAATTAAAACCCTTTTACTCGTGATTTGAACCACATTACAAAATTGCCAAAAAATTTTCCCATAGTCGAAAACAACCGGTTTGGCATCATTAATTTTTCGTCTTAATTCGAGCGAATAAAACAAGCGAGCATGCTTACAACTGCTGAATAGTGCCTAGTTTCAGACCTTAAAACGTAATTTTAGGCAAGTAATAAAGTTTTTGGAGTTTTTTTAGCTTCATTTGGGAACCAAAAAGCTCAAAAGTTTCCTGCAAAAATTTTGATTAACAAATTTTTTTAAATGTTTTTTTTTAGTTGTTGTAACCTTTTTGCTACGAAAATTTTTGTCCACTTTGCCTATATAACTATGACTGTCTAATATGCCTAAACTATATTTTCACATCAGATCTTTTTATCACACCAGGCAGAAAAAATACACTTTGGAAAAAGAACTTTCTAAACGGTAGTTTTCTAAAGACTGTGGTCGGAACATTCTGTGCTACTTGCACGGTAACCGGCAATCCTTGTTTTACTTAGTTTTGCTTGGTCGAAATAGTTTCGTGTCATGTTTTATTGAGTTTGCGATTTATTTTTTAAGCCTCCTCCGGAAACATACCATTTCAGAATTTGATAGCTCACCGGAAAGTTTTCTTGGCAACATTTTTCTTTTCGGCTCACATTTAGTCGGTATAGTTGCCGTTCAATAAATTTTTGGATACCTTTTTCACAACTGCGATTATTGCTGGACGTTTTTTCCTTTAATCTAACACCATTTTTCTAATGTGTGCATTTTTTCTTTTTGCTTTTTCGACGTTTTTTTTTGCGAGAGGTAGTGACTTGTGATCCGTTAATTAAATTTTTCTTATAACTCTGTAACAGTTAGTATTGTACCTAAACATTTCGTAATTTATCTCACTAAGTCTTGTGAAAATGCGGACACATATGAACTATAAAAAAGTCTGGAATTCGAACCTTGGACGAAACTTGTTTTATTCAAAGTATGAATAAAATCGATTTTTTTGGGGAAAATTAAATGTCGGATTTCTGTTTGTCAACTCATTTTTTTTGGGTTTGGCCTTATTTGCAAAGCATGGAATTTTTTTCTGATTCAAACAATTACCATTGTAATTGCAGTCTTTCTGTTATATGCAAGTTGAACAACTCGTAGTTAGCAAATCCAATTTGATTTTTTTGTTACACTTGGTATAGCAAGTGTGTTGCAAAACAAGCATATTTTTTTCTTAGTTTTTTTTGTGATATTGGAAGATATTTTTGTGGTCCTTTTGTCTATATGATCTTAGTTTATAGAGTAGACGGATAGATTTTGATCATGGAGATGCCACTCGACAGGCTGATGCCTTTTTGATGGTCTCCCAAGCCGAACTTTATTGTAAACGTATATTTTTATAGAATGTCTGCTTATAAGTTTTGGTTTGAAAATAAAATTATTAATGGTTATAATTACCAATAAACTAAAAGTAAACTTTTATTTAGGTCGTGAGGGTTTTCGTCTTTATATTTGATCTTCGGCGGTTTGACTTTTGATTTCGTTTAAAGTTCAATTCGTATTAATTTCCTAGAACCGGAATGAAAATTTTCCCGTGGATTAAACAAAATGCGTTATCTCTAATTGGGTGGGTTAACGAATAACCCTCAATCCTAAAAAAATCTTGTAACTCAGAGATTCTCAACGTAATGTTTCATTTTCTTCGGAAGTTGAAAAATATTTAAAAAAAAAAAACTAGTTTTCTTGCGGACCATTGACACTTATCCAGCTCTCTGATGTCTATGAGTTTGATACTCCGTGACTTCAATAGTCTACTTGACAAGTTTTGGGGGTCCTTTTCGAGCTATGAAAATAAATCGCGATGTTCCATCCGCTCATAACTGTTGAAAAACTAGATCAAAAAATTTAAACAACTGTTTGCGGACTGTTTTGGCATAACAAATCAAACTTTTTCATTGTTTCGTTCTGTGAACAGTTTCCTTAGAAGTTCTTATTTGACAAACCAAATTATGTTCCTTACAAACTAACTTTTTGCTATCCGTTTCAAGCTATCAAAATAATGAGCAAAATTTCAACGATTCAATCACACATGCGATCTAGCTTGAAGAACCAATTTGAAGAATCACTCAACGTAGGAATTGATTTTTTGATCAGGTAAATGTTTGAGAATCGATTCCAACTATCAAAACTATTTATCAAAGTTGCGATCTCAATGCAGCATCCATTTGGAGAAACCGAAAACTTCCGCCAAATTTTTGTTCGACCTAACTATTTTCGTCTCTTTTTTGCTTTAAAATGCAAATCACGATGAATGGGCATTTAATATGATCGCTGCTACGAGACATTAACTTGATCCCCGTCGAGTCTTAAATGGCTCCTTACACGCCCTTAGAAATGGTTCCCTTTACGAAATGAATCATCTTAATTCGCCCTTATCGAGACGTTTTTTTATGATATCTGATTATATGGTTTTTTCTTAGATATTTGACTGGGTGATAACTTAAATTGGATGGAAGTTTCAGGTCGTGTTTGTTGTTGATTTTGCTTGTGTTGAGTCTTATCTGAGGTTGGTTGACCACACCGAACTTGACTTTGTTGATTGAGAAAGCAGTGTAAAAAGAAGATAATAGACTATACTTCTAGAAGGTGAAATAAAAAGAAGAAGATCGAGTTCAGTGCAGAAAAGTATGGCCTCTAAGAAGGATAAAAAAGACAAGAGTGGTCCATTCATCACTGGCTTCGGCAGTTGGAAAGCAGTGACCACTGCTCTTCACAATAGACTACCCAGCAACAAAGAGTCCAGTGAGTCAATTGTGACTAACTTATGAACTGTTCATCCCTTTACGGCTAACCAATGCTGTGCCCGTAGATAAGAATCTCATACAACATTTTCAGCTATTTTCTAGGCAAGGTTTTGGTGCTCCATCTGCAAGCAACCAGCGCGGAGAATGGTATGCTTGAATCACCATCTTCCGACTATCTATTTCGCATGGCTACCGACCCGAGAGCATTGCTTTCGTCAAATAAAAGTGTTTTCTTAAGTCATGATAGCCAAGTTATTCAATGAATAAATATCACCTCTGGTTGAAAATAGCCTCTGGTGCTTAAGCTTATAGAAGATCGGGTCTTTATACTTTTGCGATTAGCAAGGCTATTGCAACCGGGTACTAGACTTTTTAAAATTTAAGTGCAACTTATCCGACACTTTAAAAAATTGTTTTCTTAGTCTTAATTTTTTGACGACCTAAAACTTCGAATTTTAAAAATTATTTTAAAAAGTCATTGCATTGAAAATATTGGCCATTTTTTCTCGGCTTAACGGACGTGTCATTAACGGGCTTTGTCTGCATAGTTACCGGTCGATGAAATTTGTCTCATTGCTTAATTAATGATTGCAATCGTGCTTCGCGACAGTTTTTTCGAATTGAGTCTTTGAAATTTCTTAAAATTTTGGGTGGTTTATTGCGTTATTCATTTTTTTTACTGGTGGTTTTTGGCTAACTTCGCCATTCTCTGTTATATTGTATCGCAAGTAGTGCCAAGCTCTGCTTCGCCTCTGTGTTGATTTTTTGAGAGTGTAATTACGACCATTTGGCTCTTAGTCTTTATCATTATGTCATCGAGAGATTGTTATCTAAAAACAACGCAGTCTATACAAGGCCGCGTTGCTTTTGGTAAAGTCAAAGAGTATAAGTTCGCGAGGGAAATGACAAAAAAACGAGCTGTACATGTCTTTGCACGGACAAAAGCTGATGTGCCAATTGATAAATATAAATTCAATTTTCGGTTAACTGGAACGGGAGATGTCTCCTTTTTGTATTAACCCCGGCCTGCTCAGTGCAGAACCAACCGTGGGGGAGGCACATGTCTCTCACTACGAGGGTCGTGCGTTCGAATCCCGCTTCGGTCACGATTGGAGGGGTCCCACTGTCATCCGCCTCCTCAAGGTGGGACCGGCTGCGGCGAAATGGATGACATCTCCCCTCCCCCACGGTTGGAGATGTCTCCTTTTCTGAACTAGCGAGCGCGCATCTTGGTGGGCGTGGAGCTACCAACCGTTTGACTGAGAGGCCATTCCATGTGGTACTAGACACTGCCTCTATGCTAGCAATGTGTTTTTTGTGCTGCAGTGGTGCCAGGAGTGGAACCCATTCCAGACTGGGACCCCACTTCGGAGTCCAGTGGACCTCCTCCGGACACAATCACCCCCCAGCAGTTGCAGGCTACGATGGAACATCTGGCCAAGAAGGACGAAGAGTTGGGCTGTCTTCCCCCAAGGGTGTACGGGTCCTTGCTGGAGTGCAACGACAAAGTCTACATGTTAGGTGAGTCCGTGTTCCAAAAAGAGTTAGTTAGTTTCATTTGTCCTTGAAAATCACAAATCAAACTGAGACGATAGAAGAAGGTCGGGGAACATAATATGAGTAACTTAGATGCTTTGACTATAACTTTGATGCTTATGTAAGAGGGGGTTGCAACGCCCCTACAGCCGCCCCTGAAATTTAAAACTTATGTGCTTTAAAATATTCGGAAACAGCTTCCTCATTTGTTTTTACGTTGCGGGATCAATCTTTCATTCTCGCTTTTTCTAGGGGGCCTCAAGTACCATTCTTGTACCCAGATTAACCCCCACAACTGGTCGCTTTATTCTTTTTAGGCTTTATTCTGCAATTGCTGCATTATTACTTTTCTAGAGCTAATTTTGTCTTTTTTGATATAGTTTGCGAAGTGCAGCTTCTCCTTTGTGTAGGCTCTTTTTCCCGCGATTTGTATTAGTCAAGGTATTTGAACATGCCAGTTCGAATCCTTCAGTAAACTCTCTTTTGCACGATAACCTCTAAATCGTTTGCTAGGAAATCACCGTTACTTTTAACGACCTTGCTGGTATGGTTGTTTTTTTTATATTTCCGGGCCTATGAACTACGATGCTTGAAACTTTGTTTTACCTTGCATTTTGATTTGATTTCACTAACTGTTTATTTCTGTTATGATATCGGCATATGAAGTAAACAAGTTAGTTAAATCAGCAAAGAACGTAAAATTAGCCCATCAACTTGAAGCTTATCTTATTATCATTAATACCCAATCCCTTACCGATACAGAAATCCGGTCCAAACACCTTTTTCGCGGAACAAAAGCAAGTCCTCGAATTGAAATCCAGCCCGCGATGCAAATTAACTCATAGAAGCCTAGAATACATCGAAATTCGAAAAAAAAATTGAGTTAGATTTGAAACGGATTTTGATTGACAGGTGGAACAGACATCACTGGACAGCCCCTGAACACTTTGTTCATGTCCGAGGACCCCCTCTCAGATTGGTACCAACTGCCCCCCTTCAAGGCGCCGAAGGCAGGCATGTCCACGCACGTGGTAGATGGGAAGATCTTCATCTTCGGGGGATCAAACATCAAACAGGCGGGCGACAACTCAGTAGAGATATTTGACACGCAGTCCCAAACTTGGACTCAGGTAGGATGAATTTTTTGCAGGGGCGAAATGGGGTGGGGTCTCTAAATTTGATGGGGGACGACGTGTGCTTTGCATTAACAAGCGGCTCAGGGGGTTTTATGTAGTGGATAGGTTCCTGCTACTTCGCAGTGTCTAAAGAGCAATAAGTTTTGAATGAATACTTTGGTTTCAAGACTCGTAGTGCATTTTAGCGAACCTGGCCTGACCTGAAAGGTATTTTTCATTCTTTCTATTTTCACTCAGTTAGTAATATAAAATCAGAGGTTTAAAAGTCTGTATGGGGCGGTTAATCACGTAAGCTGATTTAGTTTTGTTTCTATGGAACATTTTGAAGCTTCAAGAAACAATGACGCGTGGTTTGTTCCCCCATGAAGTGGCAAAAATGACACAAGGGGTTCAAATGAGATATCACATCTTATTTGCGTTCTGATTTGGATTCAATGGGTCCCTTGACTACGCGAGCGAACAATATGTTGAATTACATGGGCAATTTTCACTTGTTGATGTCTTGTTACCCTGGCAATAAGCAAGGGTATTGCAATCGGTTACTAGACTTTTTTCCCAGTGAATAATTTTTTTCACAGGACTCATCTATCTTCTGACATGTTCAATTACTTGAAAATTCAAATAAAACTATCATTTGAAAAGTAATTAGTTAAAGCCCGTTTCGGATTGTAATTATCTTTTCAAAAAATCTCCCAATTTTTTTCAGGCTCGTGGTTTTCGTGCAAGTTTTTGTCGGTTGATTTTCAGTTTTAAACGCCATTTTTTTATCTGGTAGGGTTTTTTTGGCTTTTTAAAGCATTGGCTTTTTCCAATTTAAACAGTTTTTGTTATAACTGAATGTTCACAAATTAGTAAATTTATCAAGTCTGATTTTGAGATTTTTTAAGAGTCGATGAACTAAGTTGAGATTCTTATATAGCACGAAATGGTTTTTGTTTGTTTTTTTCAGGAAAAGTCTCAAATTTTGTTTAAGTTCAAATTCTTTTTTTGCGGTTTGACTTCCGATTTCTTTTTAAATTCAGTTCATTTCCTTTGTTAAAAGGAAGACAAACTCCACTATGGAGCATCAAAAAGTACAGGTCACGAAAAACGTGATCTATTTTTAGTTTCAAGAGTGGAATTTAATTTTCAGATTTGCCAGCGAAACAAAGAATTCACCTTTTGATCCAGTGTTCTCAAAATGGGTCAATTTTATCGAAAAACGCCAATCAGAAGTTGTTCTGGAAATTCGAAGAGCTTTAAGTACATCTGTTTTTTTTTCTTTGAAATTCGAAAGTTGAGATTTTTTCAAAAAAAAAGTCAGTATTTTTTTCTGTTTTATTGCATTCATTGACTCTTTTCCAACTGTCTGTTGGCTATGTTTTGTTTTTCTTTTGGTCTTTTTAAAAAATATTTAAACAGTTTCAGTTTATGTTATATCGCCTTATTCAACTTATATTGCATTATTTTGAGGGCAAACTATATCGGTATTCGGTTATATGTTTCAGTTTGGAGGGGTCGTAGAAACTTAACTTTTTCATGACAACAGTTACTAAGCGCCAGTAATTTCTTGCTTCATTTAGGGTAAAACAATCCCTGGCGACACCTTCACCGGAGGTCGCACAGTGTTGCACAATGGCCTTATCTACCTCATAGGGGGCATCAGAGACGGGGTGAGTTCATGTCTGAACACGATCATGAGCTACAACCCAGAGACAGACACGTGGAAGTTAGGAGGCTACCCGGAAATGAATTACTACAGATACGCCGCTACTCTCGTGCTCAAAAACAACCTGTGAGCCTTTCAAGTCTGGGGCCGATCGAAGCTTTTCTTGTGGGCGGGGGGATCTGTCTAGTTTTTGAGAAACTAAGCCTAAGTCGGACCTAGATACTTTTTAAGGCTCCAGCTGATTTTTTAAAGGTTATTTGCTCATAAATCAGAGCGTAATTTTAACAGCATGGAAAATGCTTGGAAAAATAGCAACCAAACCAACAGCATGATAAAGCCTAGCTTTCGGATAATGGCTGAATGGACAGTGTGTTGTGACGTAATTGACTGGGGTTGTTTCAGACTGTACATATCGGGCGGTCGTGAGGGCAAACTAGCCTGTGACGGCGTAGAGTGTTTCTCCTTCGACGACAACAAGATCACGCAGCTGGCCACATATCCTTCTAAGAAAGTGTTTTACCAGGAGTTCAACAGACCCCAAGATCAGGACTTTTACCTGTTCGGAGGCATGGACTATCCCTCGACTTCACCCAATGCAGCCAGTGAGATGTACAGGTATGTTGCTACTCATCACCTCGCTTCATCTCCAATATATACTATATTTAAATGCGTGTGACAGCTATCTCACATTCTTAAGCATAATAATTTTGCACGCTTAACGAAAGAATTTTTTTCACATTAGGCTATATCATATATTGCAATGCTTAAGAAACTTTCCGCAAGGTCATTAATTTTTCAGCATTTTTTTCCGAGGTCAAATTAAGTCTGTCTGTCTGTATATATATGCGGTTGTTTATGAGTTGTTAAAAATTCGGAGTACCGGAGGTGCGTTAAACGCTAGTACATCTGAAATTGAAATGTCCACTTTTTCATACAAATGTACTACAATTAACTGTCTAGTTCAACACTCTTGAGTAAAAGGAAGCCCATTTGGCTATCATACTTCATTGGCTTTCTACTTCAAAAGTTCTGAAAGTAATAAACTGTAAATTTAATATAACTCTGATTGGTTTGATTTGTTGTGCAAGCGGTCTTTCTGCCTCGAGAATAAGCCCGCGCATGGGAATATAACGGGCTTGTTCAGTTCATTAACACTCCCCAACTGTCTGATAAATTTGTTTTTTTTTCTAGTTTTGAAACTGAATACAATGCTTATTTTGTAGGTACGACATACGTGGCAATGAGTGGGAACAGATGCCAGACATGCACATGGGCAGGGCAGACATGGGCGTGGCCTGTTTCAAGGACAAACTCATGGCCATAGGGGGTGTGACTGTGAATGCGAGACAGCAGGTAGAACCCACCAATCAGATTGAAGTGTTCTCCCCCGAAGAGAGGATCTGGTACAAGTTCAAAAACACCATGCCAACGCCCAGGTACACAAATGAAAAGAACAAAGAAAAGTGAACAATATACTTGTGAGAGCAATTGTTTTGTTATTGGCAAGTAGACATTTTCCACTAAACTGTTTATAATATGTTAACGCTGGTAATAATTTAACGCTTGCATTAGTGCCCTGAGGTAAATATCAACTTTTTTTGGTTAAATTGTTTCATTTTTTTTTAGTTTTAAAATTCCGGTTTGTTTTCTATCAGCTTTTTTTGTCCATAAGAACTTACTTGCAACCGGACATTGCAAGTTCGTTGCAAAGCTTGAATTGTTTCTTGTATCTTCCTGCAAGACAGCGTCAGATACAACCGTGCATGTGTGTCTAGGAGGAGTTATCCAAACTCAAATCAGGAAAAGATTTCAGACGCAATAATTAATGATCTAAGCTTAATTTAGTTGTACTTTTGTTTAATTTCTTTGCTAATAATCAGGGTGCGAAAAAAGTGAAAAGAAGGATGTGAGTTTCACTTATAGAGCTCTTGATGATGTTTTTAAGGGAAAAGTCTCAATTACTACAGAAGTAAATCATACATATTAATGCATTAATGAATGTACATAGGTATATATGCTCTTTTTGAATATCAAATTTTATTGTGATTAAATTGTGCTCTACTATTACGAAAGCTGAAATAGCGCAAAGAAAACAAGAACGGCTTCTAATTCTCAAAGTGGATTTTAGTTTCCAGATATCCCAGCGCAATAAAAAAAAGTTTATACATTGATCCAATTTTCTTAGATAGGGTCATTTTTATCAGTAAACTGTAAATCATAAATTGTTCTGAAATTCAAAGACCTTCAACTTTATTTTTCAAATAATGTTATAAGTTTGAAAGTTGAAAATGTTGAAAAATTTTGGGGAGGGTTCTCATGCTGGAGGGACCAAATATTTCAACCAATCAAAATCGTTAAGCATTCCTATCGGCTAAATGCCTTTCTCACAAAATCGAAGTCAATATTAACAGAAATTGTTAATATGATAAATATAGTAGATGCAGATAAAATAGGTGCAGATACGATAAAAATTTTTTTTGTTTTCTCATTTTTCGTAAATCGGTATCCTTGAAATATTAAATTTGTTCCAATGCCCATTTGATCCAACATTATTTTCATTCATCTGCTCATTCTCTAATCGGTCAATATTAACACTTATGGCCTGGATTTTTTTGCTTACTTTTAGATTTTCGCGAATTCCCTGAGATTTGCTAAAACCGAATTCTGATTGGCTAAAAATAAGCCAAAATAAATTTCAAGCATTCGGTCACTCCAGCATGAGGAACGCCACCAAAAATTTTAAATCCCTTTTTTGGGTTGCTTGTTCTTTTAACACTTGAGAGAGCAGTGTATTAGATGGAACCTTCTTTTTTTTCAACCTAGTTCTCGAATAGAAGTGCTCATTTGGTGACACTTTTGTCATAATCACGATCTGTAGCATTAGAATTTTTATAGCTTATGTTGTCCGCTTTTGGCTAGTGTTTGTGTTAAGAGTCCGTGGCTGAGAGGTTAGGGCGTGGGATTCTGTCTATCTAGATCGCAGGTTTGAATCCGTCGCGTCGAATCTGTTTCTTACTAATTCCAGGCTTATTTCTACTTCTTCCTATTTCATTTTATAGAATTGCATCTTTCTTTGTGTTATCACCAGCGTTATCAAATTATCCTACTTGAATTGTCTCAATAGCTTCTTATATTTTTGACTGGTCAAATGAAGTTTTCTTTCTGCATAATCGTCTTTTTATGAATAATGTGTAGAAGTTTTAATGTAATTTGCGTGTCTGAGTAATTCATGGGATTCAATGAACGAAGTCAGTCTATTTGATTTAGGTCGGCTGTTTAGTTTCGTTTTTGATGTTTTAAGCGAAAAATGTGAGCGCTTCTTAATCACGAACTATACGCTGCAGGTATCTAATTCCACAGACCTTCTTTTATCTACCAATTCTCAAATTGGTGTTGGAATTGCATATGCGAAGCTTTGTGTATTATTAAAAAAAAATCCAACCTAAGTCGCAAATAAAAACTGTTCATTTGGTGGCACTTTTGGTATATTTCAATTTAATTATATTTAAGCATATGCAATTTAATATCATATGTTGTTGCTTTATTTTTGGGCTAGTGTTAGGTCCTGTTTGAAAAAAAACAGGTATGAAAATGTATGGGATTTGTTGTTTTTGTTGTTGTTTTTTGCGACACTATGCAAAAACGTTTGCACTTTTTGCTGAAATTTCAATATTTCTCAAAAATTACTGTGCTGTTACCAATGGACAAACCGGCTGCTCTTTTATATGCCTGCATGTTTTGCTAGCCTTTTCCATTTTACCCCTCGTTCTACTGCCTGCGAAAGCATCAAAAGGGGGATTTTTGACCTATTTGTTTTGAGTTTTTTTTATTTTGAAGAATAAATGCACAAATCTGAGATGAAGGTTTCAATCAATAAAATAAATCTTGGGTATCTTCTCTTCTCAAGCGGTTATTTTCTAAACTTGATAGATAAAAAAAGTTATGGCCTCAATCAAGCCCATTTCTTAACATTTTGATGGATTTTTTGTAACTTTTCTCAAAAATTACCCTGTCAAATCGGAGATTAAGGTTTTAACCGAAAACCAACAACTAGTTTTGTGATTTTTTCGTGCGCCAGCGGCTATGCTCTGCGTATTGAGGACAAAATTTTTTTTAGAAAAACCGATATGGACTGGGGAAAATCCTTTTGTTTTTGAATTTTTTTTTAACCGTTTTTAGAAATTTCACAACTTATCTAGAAAACTACTTGCTCAATTTGATTTTAAGCGTTCAGTCTAAAAATCAGGGAGGGGAAATTTTCCCTGCATAAAAGCTTGTTCTCATGCCATAGTAGAGAAAAGTTTATAGATTTAGCAAAAGTCAAAATTTGTAGTTTTCTCCTTCAAATAACCAGCTGATCTCCTACTTACTATACTGTTGATTTACTAAGGTTTTGCGCAAATTCCATAATTTTGACAGTTTGAAAATTACGCATTTCTGTATCAGTACAATATATGGTTGAAAATCTTAAAACCTGTACATCCAGCATACGCTGGGCCCCTAGTTTACTTCCAAGTGACCGTGGCGCAGATGTGAGGACGTGAGTGACACTCAGCTTGAAGTCGGAGATTTGAACTCAGCATGAAGTGGAACATTGAAATAGTTTTGTTTTTTTTTTGCTCGAATTTTTGCTGCTTTATTGGTGGCTAGTGTTAGTAAAATTACAAGCGCTCGTGGAGCAGATCTGAGAGCGTGATACTCATTATCTCAAAGTTGAAATTCAAAAAAAATTTCAAGGTTTTGAGCTCTTTTATGCATTTGCCTCGCTTGTGTTTGCGACGCGCAGCTTTGTTACTGTGTTAATTTTCAGTTTTTTTTTATCGCGGTGCACGATGAAGTATATTTTTTGCGCTTTATTGTTCGTTTGTTTTTGGTTACATAAATCGATAGTTTTGATTAAGTCTCTATGAAAATGGACGCCATGAAAAAGAAGACACTTTCGTCACGCTAAAATTTGTTATCACGGTTTGACTCTTGACTTTTTAAAGTTGATTTCAAACTCATTTGCTTACAGGAAGTGAAATTACGCTCTCCAGTATCAAAAATTTAAGTAGCTGGAAACACTTGATCTTCTTCTTTATGGAGTAATGGATTTTATTTTTCAATGTTCGCTGCGGACTTAAAATATCATCGTTTGTTCCTTTTTTCTCAAATTGTGTTTGTTTTATCGAGAAACAATTAATCCATACAATCCTGGTAGTTAAAAGAATTTGAAGGTGATTGCTTTCTCTTAGAAGCTCAAAATGTTTCAACTATATTCTTTTCAGGTGTATTCTGCATTTTTTAAATGTTTGTTGGAAGTGTAACTTGGCCACTGTGTAAGCTTTTTGGCATCGTTTTTAAGAATTGATGACTATAGTGAAGACTCTTATATTTTGATTTTTAAATTTAGTTTTTTCAAGAAGTCATGAAATTTGTTCACGCTCAAATTGGGTATTTTGCCGTCTGACTTGATTTTTTTTTCAAGTTCAGTTCGTTTCAGTTAAAAGGATGGCAAACTCCACTATCGATCAGAAAAAGGGTGAAAATTACAAAAAATCTGAGTGACTTATACTTTCGGAAGAGGGTTTTATCTTTTAGGTTTTTCAGCGGAATAAAACATTTTCCTTTGATCCAGTTTTTTGAAATCTTTTTTTTTTGTTTCGAAGACCAGATTGAGTAGCTTAAGTCAACGCCCTATCCCGACAAAAACTGAAATGTTTTGAGGCGATTAGTAAATAGTGATTTTTTTGGCTTTGATTAGTAATTTTCATTGCACTAACTAAAATTAAAAAATGGCTGTAGAAATGAGAAAGAACAAATCAATATTGCGAAAAATGGTCTTTACCAGTTTTTGAAGTAAGAACACGAACTAACATGCTCTAAGTCTGACCTTGATCTCAGTGAGCTTAGTCTTTCTTTTTTGTTCCGATCACTCGAAGAGTCGAAAAGAACGTGAATTCGGCTTGTTTTTTTCTGATCAATTTAAACTGCCTCAGAAAAAGCTGGTTGGGCTCAAGTTTGGTATCATCTAAAAGCGTTTTTGGCCATGATGCGGATTCCAAAAAGAAAATTGGAAAATGTTATTTTATCGTTGGCCTGCATTTTTTGGTTTTTAATACTAAATTAGACAAAAATTGCTGAGAATCTGACCTCCCAACTTTAGTTTTATTAGAATTTAAATGCTACATTTCGCTTTTTAAACTATAGTTTGTTTTCTTCCTTGCATTTTCATCTAATTCAATCGCATTTTCCAGAAAAAAAAGCATCAGGAATTTAGACAACGAAAACATGGGAAAAAAGTTTTAGTGTTTTTTTTTTATTTCAAAACCTTATCTCTGTTAAATTTTCTTTCTGAAATTAATTTGTTCGGAACATTCCGCATACTTGCCCAGCAACCAGTTATCATTGTTTGTGATATTTTCTTTGTTTTGTTAGGTTCTCACCGCATGTGTTGGAGCACAAACACAAACTCTTCGTCTATGGTGGGTTCGGGGGCAAGCCAACTGGGGCACTGGAAAAGCTAGAAGTACACTAGAAGGAGAGGAGCGGAAGCTAAACTACACATAAGAGGATTGAGCGATCTGAACTAAGTGAATTCGCTAGCAGTACCATACGAGTTAAGACTATGGGCTCTTGGAGTAATTCAGTTTCAAATAAATTAAGCTACGTTAAGTCTTGCTTAATGTTCAGTTGCTTCAGCAACACAAATGGAGCTGCATAACGATGTCTATGATGCAAATGAAAATTAATGGTCTGAAGTTGACTTTCTATGTGTTTTACACGGAGGTTTATGTTTACTGCAGCAAAATTTCAGAACTGAACTTGTAGCCGATTTTTGAAAAGTTTGTTGCAAAAAAAAACAGCTTCAAAAAATTGAATCCATGAGCTCATCTAGGTGCTTTTTTCTTTTCAATTGCCTTCTATTCAATATAGCTTCTCTATTCAATATAGCTTCTTTTATTTCTGTATAAATCTTCCTAAAATGTCTAATGATACCATTTTAAAAGCATAAATAAACATTTTTTTTGTGATGTGTTTGTATTTTTTAAATCTGAGTAACAATCGCTTAATGAAAGCTCTATGAAAATGTATACATTATTTCTTCGTTTTTCCTTTTAATTCAACAAAGTTTTGTAATTCTTTTCTTTTTATAAGATAAAGTTAGACACGTAGTTTTAATTTGATTTCTTGTTTAGAAGGATCCATGAAAATTCAACCGTTTTGCCGTATCCTAAGCTTGCGGATTCGGTTGCCTTGATAACGATTTTCAATCTTAGTTTGTTATTTAATAAATATCACATTTTTATGAGGGAGACAAGTGTACTTATGATCGGGGTAATTGGAAAACTTGGTAATAAGTGATTTTTACACAGATAGAAAAAAAGACATTTTGGTAATGAACTGTTGAATTATTTTTTCCTTCTCAGAATTATTTCTTATTTCTACTTCTCAAGAAGTCAAATATTGCCGGACGAAGTCCAGATTGGGCCTTGATTGAGGCGCGAAACAATAGCTTATAATGGTTCTCGGGCTCATTTCAAGTGATGTTAAAAGTGATGTTAACAAGTTAATTGTTTTGTGAACGCTTAGCTGAGAAATTTGAAGTCTAATAGAACTACTAATTATTTATTGTTTATGATAAAACAGCATCTAAAAAACCATGAGAACAATACGGCTCATCGATTAAAAAAGATGACGTTTAGACTGAACACCTAACGGTACAGAAACGTTTTTACAAAAGCTTGCGAGATTAAAAGTGTTCCCTTATTTGATGGCACCCCTGCTATAGTCACGATCTGTAGCATCGGAAATTTCAAAACATCTGTTCTCTGCTGTATTTCTGGTCAGTGCTTGTGATTTATTAAGCCGTTCGTGGCTGAGTGTCTAGTGAATGAGACTCATAATCTCCAGTTTGCAGATCGAAGCCGAGACGTTGGGTAATATCCAGGTTATTAATGCAACATGATCTACTTGGCGCACATACAATTCGGCGAAAAAAATTCAGCTATTTTGAAATTTAGCAAAAAATTCACAGACACTGCAGTCGCAGACAATTCTGCCAGTTTCTAAAAAGGATTAGATAAAAAAATCGGAATTGCAGTTAGTTTTCGGTTGAAGGTCGCCGGTGGTTGCGCGAGAGTCATATCCTCTGTTGGCAAGCTCGCAACACGTTGGCGCAATTGCAGCGGTCACTATTCAAAATTTAAAAGAAATTTCAATCTAATCAAATTGGAATGTAGACTTTTTTCAGGTTAAAAACTAATTTACCAAAGTCAGTCGAATCACTTATGATGCTGCTATGCAGCTGTCATGCTCAATTTCATGAAAGTTCAAATTTAACTACTGGGTGGGGACTAGTTACTACAGGGTCGTTTCAGGGGGACTTGAAATTTCAGAAAGTTTTTTTAATACAAAATTAGTTTTTGTAAGGGTTACGAGTTTTGGAAAGTCAAGTTTTTGAACTTTGCCCGTTTTTAGAAACTTTTTGAGATTTTTTTTAAATCGGAGATGAAAACTTCAATTGATAGAAGTGGTTGCTCGAATTTTTCCTACAGAAGGGACTACTCTTAATTTTTTGCAAGAGAAAGGTTATGTGTTTGGGTAAATTTTCACGCCTACGTATTTAAGTTGTGAAGCAACTAAGTTTTTGGACAGAAACCAATTTTTGCAATTATGCGTTGCGCCCCGCATCGGTGTAACAAATTGAACAATTTGTCAACTACGTACCTTCAGCTTTAGCTGGGCCCTAGGTGTCGTTCATCGAGACAAGAAATATTTGTTTCGCCTAGTTTTTTTCATTGTTTCATCCTTTTTCGACTCATGCTTTTTTATGATCGTGTTGTGTCGCAAAGGATGCGAAGCGCCGCTTCGTCTCTATGTTAAAAAAGTGATTGTTGGTTATTAAGTGTCAATGAACATAGTGAAGACCTTTATATAGGTCTTGATGTTTATTTTTTCACGGTCAAATTTGATTTTCTGAGGTTTGGCTTTTCAATTTTTTCAAGTTCAGTTCAATTACTTTGTTAAAGGGAGGCGGCGAACTCCACTATCGAACACCAAAAGTGTAAACATTACAAAAAATGAACAGCTTCTAGTTAGGAAAGTAGTGTTTAATTTCTAGAGTTCTCAGTGGAATAAACGTTGTCTATTGATCCAAACTTTTCATACAGGTTTAATGTTATTTAAAAAATTCTGTACCAAAATGCATCTGTTTATTTGCGTTCGTTGACTTTTTAATCTGGCTGTTGGCTGTATAGGTTTTCTCATCGAATCTTTCGGTCTTTATAAGGATTTGTTTTAGATTAAAAATTTAATCAAATCGACCAAACTTGCCTTTGAATTTTAAAAACGATTTATTAAAAAAAAAACATCTATTTGGATATTGTAATCTAACATAAACTTAGCACAAGAATATAGAACATCAACAAATCACCATCTAGGAAGAAACATTGAATATTGATATAGTGGTTTTGATAAACTTTGATGTTGAACGAGCTCTTTAATAGATATTAAGATTCCGGCGTACTTACACAAAACGCATAGAGTTTAGTGCATTTTGAAAAGCCACAATGATCTGTTAAATCTTCGTTTTTTGTGAATAACCTTTATTCAAATCAAAATTCCTGTTTTTTGTCAAATACGGGTTATTTTACGTTTCAACTATAATTTATGGTTTGATAGATGTGGTTTGTCCACTATTTAAAAACGTCGTCTCGAGGCGTGAACAAAATTTGCTGATAGTGAAATAATTTATCAATCTCAAATCTGATAAATCACTGCGAAGAGTTCATTAATTGTGTTTTAGATTGCTGTTCGACTATTAAATACTTGAAAGCAAAGAGTAAACGTAATATCAAAATTAAATATCACCATCTGGTTGATTTTTTACTGAATTGTCAGAATGAAAAATTTAGCAGCATCAGCTGCAGTTTTATGCAACAAGTCCAGCTCGTTGTGGTAGTCGAACTAACTAAAAAGATAAATTTTAGCTGGCCCTTTTCCAACCCCAAAACCCATCCCCATTGAACACCCCAAACACAAGGTACCCTGAAGTAAAATGCAACCAGTAGTCTTAAAAACCCGGCAATTTCTGCATTTTGTGAACTTGAACAACAATCCGAGTTGAACAAAAGTCACTAGCTCCAAAAAAATAAGAAATTTCAAGAACTAATAAATTTAAGGGAGCAAAATAACGAAATCAAAGGAAAAAAAACTTTTCCAGACTGGGATCTTTCTGTTATGCCAGTACAAATCGCGGAAATTTGCTCAAACTATGGATCACGAATTGAATAAAAATGGCATATAAACTCTAAATAGCTGAGTTTAGAATTACCCATCGATTTAAAACCACCATTTGCTATATAGTATATATACTAGTTTTTTTTCGAAATGAAGAAAACTTAAATAATGAAAAAAAATGAAAAAAGTTTTTTTTTGTGATTTTTTTAGTGAATCATTTTCAGACAGCCCGCATATAAGTTGTGAGTTAAGGTGTATCCGGTAGGTGACACTGCCTATCAAACATATGATTGCGGGTGCCAATCGCACGTGCGCTGCAATTTGCAACGTGAGCTTTTAATTGGCTCATAGTTGAAAGAACTCTTATCGATCTTCAATAATTAACCTACGAGTTCGACCCCCTGCCTGGCTGACCAAAACAAACGTAACTTTGATACCATTGTTGATCAATGTTTGAACTGGAAAGTATCATGCTGTTATTCCGCAATATGGGGGAGGGGGGTGGGGGAGGGGATGGGTGTGAACAGAAGAGAGGCCTGAATGGGTAAATTGTTGTGTGTTTTAAGTCTTGTGATTCTTTCATTCGGTGGACTGGTCGAGACGCCATTTGGGTTTGAAAGAGGAGTGGAGTCTGGGATTGGTGGAGTCAGTGGGTGTGGCCATCAGCCGGTAATCCTCGCTCGTTATCTTCACACCTGTGATCGGGTCTTCAAACGAGTGCTGCTGGGTCAAGTTACGCTTGTTGTCGGGGCAGACACTGTTGCTCCGTCGTTTTATCATGTCGTCCTCGTCTGAAACCGGAAACAAAAAATTTTTACAAATACAATTTTACAAAAACAAATGACAATCAAGGCAATTTATAACAGAGAGTAAAGTTTTCATTTATACATTTTCCCTCGGTATTTGGTAAGCATATGGGAGCCTAAAAACAACGTCATGAGTTCAATGAGCTTCATTTTTTGTCCGTTTTTTTTCTATGCACTACGAAAAAGTCTCGAAGTTAATCCGATCAAACTTATTCCTAAAAATCATTTGAGACAAATCACTTGGTCCACGTTTTGCACCAAAAACGCAATACCAATCATTCAATATTTTATTCATCGCAATCGGGTTCTACGTTTTTTTTTCGTTAACAACTTTGTCAGCTGAATCATTGGACTCCTGGTGAAACTTTCCTGTGTTCATGGTGAAATCAATTTTTGTAGTGTCTCATGCACACTTAGCCTGGTCGTAACGAATACGTTTAGGACTGTAAAGGTCCTGGGTTCGCAACTGACCAGGACCAGTTTTTTTTGCAAACGGTAGATGTTCCGGGTCAAAAAAATTCAGCCTAATATTTGTCTGCTTATGTTTTGTCTGCTTAGTTGCCTTGTCTAATAGCAGTTTATTCGAGCTTTAAACAATTTTCACTTAAGTTTTTTCAGCATTTTAAGAAACCGACCGAATCGAAATTTGCTTTTCACATTGGCTGTAATTTTACCAGTTCGATTTATTAACATTTTGTTCTTTTTTTCTTTTTTTTTGTCTTTTTATCGGCTCAATAATTGTCAGGCTAATTAATATCGACTCAATGGCTTCTTATTGCGTCATTACGTCCGAAAAAAAGTTTTCGTGCGCGTGTGTATGCTAAGGAGAAATTTTTTAGAAGTTGAGAATTTTTTGAATTTCTTTTCGGCAAGAAGGGTTTCTGCGCAGGTTTTCTCGGCTTTGTTACCGCTTGGTAATTATAAACTCAAATCCAATCAATCATCCAGCGCATCTCGCGTAGAGGTAAAAACAACTGCTTGGTACGGCAAAGATTAACGGCTCAAATGCGGCTGGGCCCATTTTTGCAAACTACAGTTTTTGTGCTATTTCGGACTATCGTCTGTCTGTTCATATTTGTCGGCTTAGTTCCCGTAGCTCAATGTTTGTAATGCTTAAAAGATGAAGTTCGGGAGTTCGATCCAATTTGAGACCTGTTTTTCTGGCAAAAAGAGAATTTGGCTCTTATTTTTGTCTGCTTAGTTCCATTTAAGGACTTTTTTTTGAAAATTTGGATTCCTCACAGCATTCCCAAAGCTCTTTGTAGAGTTTTCTTTGATGCAGGAAAAAAATTTTCGGATATTTTGAACTTTTGTTGCAATTTTTATTGACAAAAACCGATTTTTTGAATTTTTTTTGATTTTCATAGTCATTCATATTTGTATCGTAAGTGGCGCGAAGCTCAGCTTCGCCTCTGTGTATAATTTAAAGTTCATCGGCTGGTGTTCTTCCGCAAAGACTGTTGATCGTCTTTTGAAGAAAATGAGGATTACTTCAACCAGAAAGTAGAAGACTGAATTTTATCCAGGCAAACACAAATATAAGAAAAAACTCTTCGAAAATTTAAGAAATTGACAACTATTTTATAACCGAAATAAGGTTGCAAACTCGACTGCCTAAAATATTTTTTGGATGATATTGAGAAGTTAAGAACTAAAAAGTAGCAACCACTTTTACTTTTCGTTCAACTAATATTATCAAAAATTGGGAACCTTAAAAGGCCTCTTTTTTGCTAATTACAACACTTAATCCGTATCAAATAACCTTATTGACCCAAATTGCACTATTTCTGACCAATTAACATACTCAAGTTTACCGAGCTTAATAATATTTTGGCATTCATTTTCAGTATATACTCAAACAAGACTGCTCGTACTTCAGGTCAACGCCCTAAATGTTTTGACTGCCCCTCCTCAACTGGGCTCGATTTAATTTTAGTTAATACAACTTTGATTAGCTATAAATTTTGGATTCCCAACATCGAAAGTGCAATACTAAAGTTTGAGTCGTATACGGATTTAAAATGACCAATTTAACTGCTTCAGTTGAGTTTGGAGCAATTAAGAGTGCGGTGGAAATTGCCTGCAATAATATTTCGCGTATTTAAATTATTAATTTAATCAGATGTGTATAACCGCATGTAGCCGAAGGCAACAACACATGCTTGTTAATCCAAAAATTTCAGGATCGCTCTGTTAAAATACTTGGTAAAAATGATTCGTCGGAAAAAAATTACACTTAGATTTTTCGAAGCTCGGCGCAAGTATATTATACTTTAAAAACAGCAATCAATTGTAGCAGGGTGCCAGTGCGAAAAATAAGTTTAAAATTGTAGAAAAAAAACCTTTTTTCGATTCTAAAACATTTGTTGTTGACCACTAGAAAAAGTGTATTCAATTATAAACGAGTTATAAATTCTTAATTTAAACGTTGTGCCAGAAAATTGACAGACCACTACACACGCACACAATTTGAAACTTTGAAAAAAGACGGAGCACTCAGAGTTTCGCTAAATTGATACTCTGACTCAAAATATGTTCCAACTTAGAGTTCTACCTTGAACTGATTTACTAACTTAATTCTTCAAAAAAATACCGTCAATAGATGCAACATTTATCATTACTAGCTTGACATATCCTTAGAACAATTTTAGCTTAAATTCATAACTTTTTTCTGACAAAAACTACTAAAAGCACCTCAAAATGAAGTTGATTATTTAATAGCTGTGCTCCGATATGAGAACTTAAAATTAGTGATAGAAAACAGGTTAAAAAAACTTTTTGGATTTTGAGGCCAGCACAATTTATTTTTCATTCGTCCGCAAATTGTTAATTTTTAGAATCATAATTGTCATTTCAATTTCTGGTATGTTCAACTGCTGCTCCCGTTTTATTCCAACGTTCAAAGAACGTGCGGCATATTTATGCTTTGGGTATTTATTTTTTCTTCAGTCATTTTTTGAATTTTCAATATAGCGTTTTTGATATACTTGCAAAGCTAAATCCATTATTTCACACTTTTTTGCAGAGCTGCAACCTCAAAATAATAAACTAACATCTTTTTCTCTTGAAGTTTAATTCAGCTGTAAACAGTTTTTCTTTAGCACTAAACAACTTGATTGAAAGTAAATCCAACTATCAAATTAGTTTTCTACAATTTTTTCATCGGGCTTGTCTGTAAAAAGTACTGCAATAACCATAACTTCAGATGAGACAAAGTTTAATGGGTTTTAATTAATTGAATCATTATAAAGGCTAAAAACGTTGTTTTTTATATTTTTCAATTCGATCAATATTCTTAAAATCTCTAAATCAAGATGGTATAATGTTCACCATATCCAAAAATACTTTTTAAATTGACTTTTGTAAACTAAAAAAAATAAAACAACTCGTAAACCGTTTGTAGCTCCAAATATAAAATTTTTCAGAAGCAAAATTTTATAATGAGATCAAAATATTAAAATACATAGTTGGCTGCTTGATTCAGAGCGAATTGCTTAATTGGAGTCAAAAGAAACATGATAGAAAAGTTAAACGGGTCCAATTATTTTACTAATTGCATTGTTCGTAATACTGATCATTGACACATTCAAGTAATAATGCATTCAAGTACTGATCGTTAGAACATTCAAGAATCTTGCTTGCCTGAAGGTTTCGCAGACTACTTGCTAAAAATCCAGGTGAAAGTTTTTGCCTGATTTTGCCCAAACAAGCTTGTCTGCTGAGATCGTATGCGGCACTTTTCTATAACCAATTTTATAGGGGAACCCGGAATTGTCTAAGGGTACTGCTCAAAATAGTATTGAGTTGAAATACGTGTGTCGTTTTACGCCACGGTAGAATAAAGCTTGAAAGTCCAAAAACACTTTCGTAGAATGCCGATAATCTTAAAGATTGTTAGATGGATTTCCATATTAAACCTTGGACACAACTGACATTGTAATCAAAACCCGTAGACACTTCTGGGCTCACCCTATAAAATTGGTTTTGGAAAACTACCGCATGCGAGCTCAGCAGACAAATTTATTTGGGCAAAGTCAAGCAAAGAACTTTCACTTCAGCAAGCAAGTTCGGGACTTCATTCGGGAACTTCAGCAAGCAAGTTTTTTTTTGCATTGACTGGTAGCCAGTGATACTATCTACTTATCTAAAAAGTTTGAGTCAGTTATGTTAAGCGCAAAGCAAGTTATGGACAAAAATCTGAAATATGCAGTAGCACCTATTTTTTCGGCGGAGTGTAGCATATTTGAGGGAAACTTTGCGGTGCAACATTGAAAATTGCATTCAAAACTAAAAAGATGGTAATTGGTTATTCAAATTGGTAACTTTCAAAAAAAAATCCGGAAAATTATGGCATTTAATATGTTTGTGGAAAAAGGAAGTGTTTCAAAATTACCAATTCGAATAATTGTTTTACTAATTTATGCGCGATTTGCACCTAATTATCTATAATGCTCAGCTTGCAATGTGAAATATAATAGCGGTAATTTATTCCTAAAAGTGAAAGAAGATAAGAAAAAGTTCATTAGTCCCTTTTATTGAATACAAAATGCAGATTTTTAAACTCGAAAAGGCATTTGGGGTTGAAAAAATACACTTAGAATTTGACCTTTTGAAATCTTCAAAGTAAAAAAGGCGTTTTCTGCAAATCATACCATTTTTGAGCCATTAATTTCTTTTTGATCTTAAAGGTTTGATAAGAACTAAAAGTTTTCATGAAAAGCTAGCAAAGGACTTAGTGTGGGGAGAGGGAGGCACAGGACTTTGAACCCTTGGCATCTCAAGGTTACCCCCTTTGGTATGAATTTATGGCACCGATTTTTGTCTTAAGGTTCGTTTGTTGTCAATATACTCTAGTTCTGGAGTTTAATTTTTCTAAACATTTTAAATCAAAGGTGGGGTTTGATATTGTTTTGGAAATGCTCAGAAAATCAATTGGGACTACTTAAATTATGACAATCAATTGAAACAATTTTTGGTGCAAAATAA